AAAAACAGTCTTGAGGTCTGACTTTTAAGATGAGTTGCACTCTGCAGAGGCCTTCCATATGATCAGAGGAAAATAATTCAGGTGCTTGTATGTGCTGTTTAAGGGACTTCCATCCATGGACATGTTTTCAAGACCATAGATTGGTGCTAGCAGTAAGGGGCAGTTGCTTTCTCTCTTTGTCTTCAGAGTGCTCACTGCCTTGCTTTCATATTGCCACCACTGCTTCTGTTTTAATTAGTGAAACAAGACATTTATATGTACTGCCTTTAGTTTCTCTGGTTATACATAGTGATGACATCAATATAGAAAATGGGAAAGTGTTTCCATGGGGAAATACATTTGAATTTCATCTTATTAAATTCCATAGCTTTGAGTAAGTATTTTTTGAAAAGTCCAAAAAGTATTTTTACTTGGACAGGCCTTTGGACTATAGCCTGCTTGGGATATGTTCTGCAGTTTACTTTTTGGTAGTAACTATTTTTTTGTGTTAGTAGGGGTTTTTTTGATGTTTTGACCTTATGTATTTATTACTAGCAGACTGATCCAGCTTTCTATGAACAACCCTTAGTTTAATATTGAAAAGTTTTCAAGCAAAGTTACAAAGGTGTTGGTGTTAGTGACACAGGCTGAGCCCACCCTGTCTGAGTGAAGACACACCATGCTGGTGCAATTCACAGCTCCCAAGGAAGTGGTCTGTCCAAACAATTTCCAGAGGGGGCACTGTCCTGTAGCATGGGGAAGAGATATCTGTGTAACTGCACCCATTGAACTGTTCCCTTCTGGCTTCAAATCGGATCTGCTACAGAGCTGTGTGGTGTTTAAGAAAGTGTGCCATATAGTGACTGGATATGATACTGCAGATTTCCAGCACACAGACACATTTTACTTAACATTAGTGTTGGGATGAATTGGTCCCTCCAGAATGTCTCATGCTCAGCCCAGTCCTGCAAATGCTAGCAGAGCCCCATTTGTATAACTGGCAAGCTTCCCCAGCTGCCATTCCTGGCAGCCACCCTTCTTCTGCACTTACTGCACTTGTGCTGCCAGCAATGGGGTATGTGGAAAAGGGATGCAGTGAGCAGTTGTGCCCAGTAGCCAACCTTCTTTCCCACTCATGGCTGCTGGGGACAGAAGCAGACAGGGTGGATAAAAATCAATGATTATTTTTATTAAATTGAAATTTTTGATTTAAATTGGATTTTTAAAATAAAATGCTTTGTGAGGAAAAATCTAAAGATAAGTTACTGCTTACGATATTTTATAGACCAAAGGTTAATCATCATGAAATAAGGATTAATTTTAATTATGTCGCATGAGACTGTATATTCATACAATGTTTAAATTTGGTAAATGAATTCAATTAATCCATTCACAGTGTCACGTTCTTGCAGAGGCTTCTGTAAGAGTATTGAGCAATTTTTCTATCTAAAAGATATCACATATGAGTTGGTGCAGTAGAATGGGACTACTGGCATAGCACACGGGGCTCAGTTCCTGGTCAGTGCCCCATGAACCCTGTGTGTGCTTGCCAGGAAGTTGGACTCTAAGCCACCGCTAAGAGGACTGGAATCTGGGAAGCCGAAACAAAGGAATCCAGCAGATTTTCCATATGGAACAGATGCCTCACACATCTCCAATTAATACATTTTAAAAATAACTGAGGTGCACCTTCTTCAGTTCCCCTTAGTACACATGCCACTTTTCAGGATTCTGAATTGCATGGACTTGGTGCTTGAACATTAATGTGGTTCTTTGGAATTTTAAAAAGAAACAATGTGTTTTAAATGTAACATTGAAATAAATTTAAAGCTTTACTTAGAAATTGTTTTAATTTCAACACTTGGAAGCAGTGAAATGGTTGAAACTCTTAACTTGGATTGTTAGCACACCTGAAGACCTATGTGTTCAGTAAAGATAGTCTCTAACTATACTAATGTTTAAAGTTTGAATTTGCCTGATTTGGCTTTTTCCTTTCCTTATTTGGATGTGGTCTGTCTTTAATTCTCATGATATTTAATGCTGCCTCCAGGAATTTTAATTCCAGGCTTATTAATCAACCTCCCACAGTATTATACCCAAATTGTGAGGCTCCTTCATTGGACTATGTGGTCCTGAGGATGAGACACTGATAAACAGCCTATGATGCTGAGTTAACAATGAATAAAATAAAACTTTATTTGTACAAGAAGTGCATTGGTCTCAATATGTTTTGTAACATATTTTCTTAGAAAATAAAACAGTGTATAATAACTACTTCTGACTGAGATATATCACTCTTTGTCTTCACAAAAGCTCCTCACACAGATCACCCTTTCTCTCCTGCACTCAGGTTTCTGTTAATTTCTGTCTCTCACACCCTTAAAGTACCTGGAAACATTAGGTTTTGTCTCTCTTTAGTCATTAATATGCTCTCTAAGTATTCTACTTACTTCTCTTTGTCCTTAGGAATCCTAAATACCTTCCACAGAACTAATTAGGATTTTAAAGAGATGACTGCCTGCTCAAATTCTGGAGAATTCTCTCTCTCTCTCTCTCTCCCTCCCTCCCTCCCTCCCTCCCTCCCTCTCTCTCTCTCTCTCTCTCTCAGACTTCCAAATTCTGTCCATACACTTTCAGTTCCCAAGCAATCCTCACTCCCTCATCTCCCTCTTTTAGCAGCCTTGCCCTTCTGAAACATACCAACATTTAAAGTTACACAGTCTCATAACACTTTAAATCATTACAACTACCCTCACTCATTAAGTGTATTCTGATGGGAATAGTAACTCTGAAGGATTGAGTTCATACCTATGGACTGGTTGTTTTGCATTAGTCCACAGTATGTGTGTCTTTAACTGCTTTATACTTGTTGTTAGTCGCGAAGTTGTGTCCGACCCATTGCAACCCCATGGACAACATTCCGCCAGGCCTTCCTGTCCTCCATCATCCCCCGGAGTCCTCTTAAGCTCACGCTGACTGCTTCAGTGACTCCATCTAGCCACCTCATTCTCGGTGGTCCCCTTCTTCTTTTGCCATCAATTGTTCCCAGCATTAGGCTCTTCTCCAGGGATTCCTTCCTTCTCATTAGGTGGCCAAAGTATTTGAGTTTCATCTTCAGGATCTGGCCTTCTAAAGAGCAGTCAGGGTTGATCTCCTCTAGGACTGACCGGTTTGATCGCCTTGCTGTCCAAGGGACTTGCAGGAGTCTCCACCAGCACAATTCAAAGGCCTCAATTCTTCGGCGCTCAGCCTTCCTTATGGTCCAACTTTCGTAGCAATATATTGCAACTGGGAAGACCATAGCAGATACTAGGTAGTCACATTTTTAGAGGCACTCAGGGTATTCCTTTTTATATAACACCTGCCCCAACTAGGAAGGACGTAGTAGCAGCAGGAAGCTATGAGCTGTTATTTTAGCTTTTGCATGGTCCTCTGAAGGGAAAATACAGGCAGGCGGTCTATGCTGACAGCTGCTTTGAATACTCAAGGCACAGCTTGTTGTATCGTCTGAGCCCAAGCACTGTATGTTATGTGAGGTTTAAACAGCCCTCACATAACCCAACAAGCAACCCTCACATATTGTAGAATCCCCACATTCACACGGCGTGAGAAGATGTGGCTTGAGTAATGAAAAGCAGCCTAGCATGCATTGCAGCTCACTGGCTTAAACAAACCGTGGTGGGTAATATTTACCATGCAAATAGGATCTATAGTTCAGGCAAATCTAGAAAACTGTAAATGGTAGCTCAAAGCTAAGGGTTACAATATGCTGATGCTGGGCTTTATTAATTAAATGTAGTTGTGGAACTAAAAGACAAGTTGGACAAGATTTGTTCATTGTTAAACACAAGTGATTCCATACTATAAAATTAACGAGGTTGCAGACACAGGTATATTATTCAGATGTTTGGTGGTTGTCATCCTGCAGTTGCTGTTGATTAATTGTAATTCTTTTATACCATGTTATATTTATTTGGTGACTTACCCAAAAGTACTAGTTCTTGTAGTACTTTTAAAATGGTAAACTGAATTAAGAAGGCAGTTCTTCTTAATTCCAATGGCGAGTTTCATTAGTAAGCATTTTTGTTCACAAGCATGCTTTAGTTAAAGAGAGATAATTGTACACCAGGTTGGTGTGTGCTGGATTGCAGATTTTTAATATTGGTATTGGTACTGTTTCAGTGATCCATCTAGAGCTATGATTTCCTTATTGTACTGTCAGACTGAACAAGTGAATAACCCAGTTTATATGTCAGAAGTATGAACTGAACAACCCATACTAATTAGTGGGCACACTGGAAGTGAGTGTGCTGTCTCCCAAGAGCTCATACTTTAATCTTACGTGCATATATATCAGATTGTCATTAGAACACACATCCTCAGTCATTCTATTGTCAAAATCCTAGCTATAGAGCTTTTACATAATTCACTTGTGTATCATTTGAAATACACAGTTTGAGTGAAGACACTCCTGGTAACAATGGCCATGGTTTAGCTTTTCAGATGTACCATGGTGGCACAATATTTTTATTTATTTATTTACATGAATTTATAGGCCACCGATAATTGCTGAGGCCTCCCTAGATGATTTACAATGCATAAAACATATTAACAGAATACAACAATTAAAACCAATTAAAACATAATGAATTAAACATCTATAAAAGCAATTAAAAAGGGCCACAGCATGCAGGCTAAATATCCTTTTCTTTGTATATAATGCTGCTGATAGAGTTCCAAAGTGCTTTCTTGAAGGCTGAAGGCAGTTTGCTATCCCGAGAGAAGTGAAAGGTGAATATGGAGTCGCAAGAATGATCCCTCATGAAATAAGTTCCATTAGCCTCATAGTTTAACCTCTAGAGGGCTAAGTTGCCTAAACTGTGTGATTCTGTGGATTTATGGATGTGAATGTACTAGGACTGTATGACTCTTTTCATGTTCAAGTCAAAGTTTAGGATTTTTATTATTAATAATAGTAATTTAAAACAAAATCAGTGTGATACTTGATATGTCTTTTTCAGGTTATGCAATGGTCTCTGCAAGATGGCTTGTTCTTGAGTTGGAGCTTTTTAAAACAGACATATGCTGGTACTTCAACTTTATTAAGCGGACTATAAGTTTTTCTCTCTCAACAACTACATAAGCAGACAAGATTGCAAAAATCTGCCCTGTTTCGAGTATGACAGCCACGACCCGTGGCTCTCCAGTAGGAGGGAATGACAGCCAGGGCCAGGCTCCTGATGGACAGTCCCAGCCTCCTCTGCAGCAGAATCAGGTATGCTGTGTTATCATACTGATGCCAGCAAGAACAAGGAAATTGTGAATCCCTACTCATAGTTCTTTCAATAGGTTTATTAGAATAGAAGTTCAGTTAATAGAACCATTGCTGAAATTGAAGTGAAATGCTGTTAAAACATGTCTCCATAGTTAAGGTCTTCGTGGTTACTCTCATAACATCTAGGCACAGCTATTTGTAACCAAAAACATTTTAAAACATCAAGGAAATCAGCTTTTAAATGTTTTTCTCCTGTATATAGATGTATGTATTTATACTGGTTCCAGCAAAAAATTGGAAATTTGTACAATAGTAGTTCTTTCAGTATGTTTACTAGAATACAAATACAGTTGTAAAATCTCTGTTGAAGTGCAATGAGCTTGTTGTTAAACCATATCTATGTATTTTAGTATGCAAAATATTATATGTGTGTTTGTACACAGATAGGTTCTTACTTGCTCTCAGTAATCATATACTACAATTATGTATATGCCTCAAGTGCAGATACCTACATGTACAGTGCCTTAAATTGTTTCTTTTTTACACTGCCCTAGGGAGAGTTGTTTGTAACCCTCCAGTTGTTTTGGCCTACAGTTCCCATGATTCTTCACCATTGGCTATGCTGGTTAGGGTTGTTGGGAGCTGTAAGCCAAAACCTTTGGTGAGCCACACTTTGCCCACCCCTGCAATACATTAATACTTGTATTACAAGTATTATTTGGCCTTCTGGTGGAGGAAAATCATACCATTGCTTACTTGTATAAAACAGGCTGAAATGTTTCAAGATTAGATTGGGACCTCAAATAGTAACTCAAAAATATGCAATCCAGCACTTAAGATTTGGTAGTTATTGTACACAAATGAACAAAATTGGTTTTACATTATGTGTCACCCACTTACACTACTTGTATGCATATTAAAAGAGTAGCTTGGTGCACTTCAGTTTTGCTAAATAAAAAAAGATAACTGGATCAGTGTCCTGCTGATTTAGCTTCACTTTAGAGCCTCCAGTGGAAGCAGTCTCTCCTATCACTTAACTGATTTTTTTTTACTACACTGACATGTTAAAGTAATGAAAGAGAGAATAATATTTAAGAACTTGCCACATGGATTAACATTATGCTCCTGTCCTAAGCAAATAGATTTGTGTATCTGTATCCATGAGGGCTTGTTACCTGAACTAGTAGCAATTTAAGTTTGGATTTTGTACTAGCTTGTGAAAGTGTTGTTCCCCCAAGTTGTGGGAAGATTATTAAAATGTTACAGACTGAAGTTCTTTAAAAATCAAAACAGTAGCCTAAGGATCTAAAGACTATGGTAAATATAAAAACAATTCACCTACATTAAAGCAATATAAACCTTGTCAGGAATCATTGATGCAACTAGGAACAGAAACTTTCCCCTGTTGCTGCTTTTACTTTGGAGCATACTCACAATACAAACTGCTTGTTCAATTGTCAGATTAGTTTTGACAGACCCCGAGCTTTATAGAAAGTTTCCAGTATGGTAGATAGCACCTGTGCTATTTCATGTGTTAGATTATGCAGGGGCCTTAAACTGTTCACACTTTTTAATCGTAAGAGTTAAGACCGAGAAGTAGGGACCATGTTAAAGCCTCTGATTACTTTGATTTCAGAAGAAGTTTAGAGAAGTGGCATTAAAACTAGTATTCTGCAAGGAATACAAAATTAAAATTATACAAACCTAGAATAAATAGATAAAATGAGAGACATATGAAATGTTTTGTGTTGCATTGGGATTGGGGAGAAAGAGAAGTGCATCTTTGAAAAGGGGTATGGGGAACAAAAAGCAGATCTACCCTTGAAGGTCATTAGAAACAGGAAAACATCATTCTTTCATTAAAAAAGCTGGGTAAACTATCAGATCTTTTACATACGGAAATAGGATATATTAGTGGGAAATACTAGTTTGGTTTAAGTGCATGTAGCATTGCTAGTTCAACAGTTAAGAAATAATTATTGGATTTGAATGGTTCATTTAATTATGTAATTTCTGATTCAGACTTCCTCACCTGATTCTTCAAATGAGAATTCCCCAGCTACCCCCCCTGATGAGCAGGGTCAAGGTGATGCTCCACCACAACTTGAAGATGAAGAGCCTGCATTTCCACACACTGACTTGGCCAAATTGGATGACATGATTAACAGGTAATTACTTGAAAGGTCTTTCGCACTTTTCTGATTATAACAAGTTATAACTTTAAGCTGTTCAATTAATGTCTCTTGGCATTCTGAGATGCCTTATTTTAGGATTTAAAAAACTAAAATATGAAATGCTTAGCACACAAAGGACTGTGAAGAAATAAGTTTCCCAGATGTTCCTTATGCAGAGTTCTAATTTGTGGCTTATACTTTTCAGGTGTAAGGTGAAACTTATAAGCAAAGTTCAGATTTTGTGTAAAATTGAAATACTGTATTCTGATCTTTTTCTTTAGACCTCGATGGGTTGTTCCTGTATTGCCTAAAGGAGAGTTAGAAGTTCTTCTTGAAGCTGCTATTGAGCTTAGTAAAAAAGGTAAGTTGAAAAATGAAACTTAAGAGAATAAAGCACATGGAGAAAAAAAGCACATGGTTTGATTCAGCTTTATCACCTATTGACTAGGTTCACACAACATGAAAACCCATATTCAGGATTGAGTTCGGGTTGCTATTAAACTGTATGTTGTTGCATTCTATGTGAGCAGATCACTCCCTTTGTGGGATAATCCTCTAGAGTTCTCGGGTTGGGGGGGGGGGGAACTGATTTTTTTCAGTTTCATCTAACTTTCCCACTTACTCCTCAGATTCCAGCTGTCCTGGAAAGTAGAAAAGCATGAGTTCCATCCCTGCTCTATAGGAATACAGATTTTTGGCAGCTTGTTCTCAAAATCCCAACCACTTTGCAAGGGGTTTCATGACAGGGTGAAGCATTTTTCCCCCCCAAGGGGAGGTATGAGTGCATAGGTCTCTGTCAAAAAAAATGGGTATCCATCTTAAAGCAACCCTTTCATGAGGAACCAAAATTTTGACAACTAGCTGACAAACTTTTGTGGTCTTATAAAAGACTTGGTTTGTACCTTTCTACTTTCTTGAGATCCTAGAGCCTCATGAAAGGGTGGAAAAATGTGAGGAATCTGCCCAGAATCAGGTCCAGCTCCCTTAGAAATGATCAAATCTCCACCCTCTTTTGTGAGCAAATATCCCTTCTGGTTTTGCTTTCACTTGAGAGCTCACATTTCAGCGGCTGTTAAGAGACAGCAAAGTGAAAAACTCTTTACAATCTTTAACAGCAACATTTCTCCCTAACACCAGCCAATCCCTGAGTGATGCTTGCCATTTTGGATCCATGCAAATGCAACTGAAAAAAGTTAAATGAAAAAAAATGAAATACATTTTTTGTACTGAAAAGGGGAAGGTTGTTGCTTGTGGTGTTACTTGGGCACTTTGAGGTGCCTGTCAAGTCAAAGATTACCAAAAATGATCTCTTGATGGGGCGAGTGGTAGGAATCATGGGGGGGTGGGGTCACCTGGATCATTCCACTTGGATCATTCCACTATGTCACTTGGCATGAGTTAGCTGACACTGTTAGTGTCCTAGTTGAAGTCAGTAAGTGTGACAGGGGGGTTTACTGCTCTTTCTAAGTAGGTTACTTCTCACAACCACAGAGGGATCAGTCACCTGAGTATGACACAACAACCCAACTTGAATCCAACAACCTCTAATATCAGCTATGAGTTGTAGAGGTGGCTTGTTGGCTGTGAACAGGCTATGCTGTATGAAGCCATCTAGTTTCATGTAACACAACTGCCCACCTATCACCCATGATGGGTGGTTGCATCCTGCAAACTGAGTCAAGAGCTGCAGTTTTCGGAGTTATTTGTAGCTATCCTGAATGATAGAAATATTCACAGAAAAATCAACCACAGGAATTGGCTTATAATGTTTGCAATGCAGCTAAGGTATAATACATCCTTACAGCTTAGTTCCTAGTGCATTGGGAAACTGCTTTTCAAAACCAAATAGTGAATGCTTTTCTGTGTGTGGCATGCTGTGACAGATTTTCCATGGCAACCTAATTAATTTACTGATTTTTTTCACACAGGTCTTGATGTTAAAAGTGAAGCATGTCAGCGATTTTTTCGAGATGGGCTAACAATCTCTTTCACAAAAATCCTTACAGATGAAGCAGTGAGTGGTTGGAAATTTGAGATTCATGTAAGTTTTCATTAGCTTCCTGTTCATGTAATTATCTGATATCAGCAATCTTAGTATGTTCAAAACAAATTTTATTGCCTGTGACTCCTGGAAAAACTGACTCCTTACTCATTTATGGTGAAGTTCTTACTGTCTATTCTTAAATGATTTTAAAGAAATAAATTTATTTATTTAAAACATTTCTATGCCGCCCCATTGCAACAAAGCCTCAGGGCGGCTCACAAACAACAACAACAAACAAATGTTTTAATGATGTTCTTTACTGTAAAAAGCTGTTTTAAGTTGGGATTTCAGTATCAACCAAAACTATTGAACTATTTTTTCTTAACAGAGATGTATCATTAACAACACCCACCGCCTAGTTGAACTCTGCGTAGCAAAGCTAGCCCAAGATTGGTTTCCCCTTCTTGAACTACTTGCAATGGCCTTAAATCCTCATTGCAAATTTCATCTTTATAATGGTACACGTCCCTCTGAAACTGTCCCTGCTGGAGTTCAGCTGGCTGAAGATGAACTTTATGCACGTCCCCCAGACCCAAGGTCACCCAAGGTGTGTTGGTTGAAATTTTGAACTCTGCATCTTTGAACATCCTCATGTTAACACCTCTGGACAGCAGCTTCCAGGAGTTTTGGGTTGACTTTTCAGTGTTGGCTAATGTAGAAATAGAGAAAATCAGTGAAGCAGAAACAGCTTTTATTCATTATTAGTACAATATGTGTTTAGTCATAAAGACATTAGCGCTTACTAAACCTTTTGCTACAGCCTGCATTGTGGCTAGTCAGAAAACTATGCAAGGCAGCACCAAAATACATTTTGAATCTCTGATACCTGTGCAACCTTCGACACTTTCTCCATGTTACAGTTTGGTAACACATCTTCCCTCTACATTGTAAATATGAACTTTCTGCACATCCAGTATCATGTTATAGTGCTTGAGGGCAGAACACTTCAGCCTATGCTGCTATTTTGTTTTAGCTATTCCCAGTGAAATTCACTTGGCTAACTTTATAAAATTACAGCATTGGAACCTGATCATTTTGTTTGCATGCATTTCTGGAATATCCGTAGTTTGAATCAAAATTCATCTTTAAGGAACCAGAGCAAAAGATGTCTGTGGAGTGTTCAGAGACTGATGCATAAGTAACACTTAGCAATCTTCAGCTTTTGGTTGATGGAGTGAGTCATAAGATTGACCATCCTCACCATTCTTTTCTTAGATAAATTTTATTCATTCTTCTCCCATCAGCCTTAATCAGCTTCATTTGTTAGGTCTTCACTGAAATTAGCTTTGACCAGTTCTAACTCTGGTTAATACTGAGGTTAACTCTGGTTCTCGCTCATCCAGAATTTGAAGTTGGTTGAAAATCCTGGGTAAAAGTAAAACCTGAATATCATTAACAGTTATTAATGCAACTGCAAGTGCACAGCTCTACCAGTCCCACAAGTTAGAATTCACAACATTCATATATTTTGAATTTGTTGTAATGTACACATTTCTATGTTTGCTATAAAACCTTCTTCTAGAGAGTCTTGCAGGGTAGGAGCTCAAATTGTATGGTGGGAAGCTTCAAGGGAGCCTCTTTTGTTCTCTGCATATGAAATCATTATTGCACAGTTACATTCTTCCCTTCTGGCTTCTGACATAAAAGGAAATATTCATTTTGTCTCAAGATAGTAATATTATTTTCTAAAACTCTAAGTTCCTGGTACATAGCTCTTCAAAACATAAACTAATTGAAAAGTTAAAGGATAGTAGTAAGAACATGTAAGAGAACTATCATGGTTAAAAGGTTCTAATTCCAAGCAAAAATATATAGAGGGTTTGTGGGTTTTTTTGCAACATAAATATGTTTGGTAGTAGAAATTACTTGTAAAGCAGGAAAAATTGTTTTACAGGGTTGGCTAGTAGATCTCATCAACAAGTTTGGCACATTAAATGGGTTTCAAATCCTACATGATCGTTTTATGAGTGGATCAGCACTGAATGTTCAGATTATTGCAGCTCTCATCAAGTAAGTTCTTTTTCTAAGGCTGTATTTGGGACATGTCAACTGAATAAGCAACAAATTCCTCAGGTTAATTCAAGCATCTTTTTTAGGATGGACTTTGGCACAGGTGCAATTTTATGTATGTATATTTGCCCTCTTTTCAAAATGTGTAGAAAACTTCAGTTTTTGTCCAGTCTTGAATTTTTTCAACTTCTAAGAAAGTGAAAGTAGGTGTCTTCATTCAGATAATGGGTTGTTTCCAGTAGTGGCTTTGAATGAGTGTGGAGTGCTTTCACACAAGTAAAGGCATCTAATTTTTGGTGATTACTGCTGCCTGTTAGAGTCATCTGTCCCATATCCCATTCTGCTTCTCATCTCTTGAGAGCAGCTTTTAACAAAGGGGGACCTAAGTGAGTAGATGGAAGATCATTAAAAGTTAGATGCTACAATGTGCTAAAGACCAAAACATTATCTCCTAATAGAAGCCACCACTAGCTAAAATCCAAATTTTTTAATGTTCATGAAAAGGAAACAAAACAGAGCAGGTATCATTTTGGTGAGCTTTAAGTCCAAATACTAGCTTCAGAGGTCTTCTAGTTTCTTAATAGTACATGCTAATGCCAACTTTTATCATTATTGAAAAGTGTAATTCAGTTATTGTGGTGAGATTAACTTATTGATTAAATCTGACAACTTGCAACATCGGTTTACTTTCTTTGTAACTAATCGAGGTGTATCTCCTTCAGCAGCTTTACCAAAAAAAACCCCCCCAAAAAACAAAAAAATCAGTTTAAAAAATTGAACTAAAGATTTTCAGTCTAGATCAAATTTATATATTTTTAATATTTAACATGCAAATTAGCTGCAGCACAAAATTTTAATGAGATCTCAGTTTTGTTTTGATCAAGCATGATCAGCTATTCAGTAGTTTATCTTAATTTGCAGTTACATTGTTTAGGAAGATATGGTAATATGACAAGGAACAAAGTTGTGAAATTTCAGCAGTTTCCTGGAACTGATTTCCTGATTTTGATAACAGTAGTGTTGGTTTTTATATGGAAAATAGTTTGTAGATCTGGATTGTATTCTTTGACTTGGGGCAAGAGAGAGTATTACAGACATACTATGCAGTCACACTTCCTTTTCGGATGCAGTGCTGTATCTGTATGAACGTAAAGAACTTTATTTTGGAGATCTTGTTTCCTCTGGTGTACTTGGATGAGAGGTGCATACAGATCAGCTGAAGGCATTTTGTTAAGAATCCAGAGGCTCAAACATTGAAGATTACTTGTTCTTGCAATACCTTGTCTGTTTGGTATATTAAAAACTTGATATACTGATTACTGTTGCTGAAGTGCCTATTCTACATCATTTCTGGCTATCTTTCCTCATAGTTTTCAATCTAACATTTATGTGTTATTATCTTTCTATAGCCAGAAGATCGTCAGGCAAAAGATCTATCAATTTTCTCCTTTACGAGCCCTCTGAAGCAATGCTATGTGATGATGTGGTATTGCTGTGATAAGGGCTTCTAGGGAATAATGGCATTTTTTTTTAAAGAGGATGGGTGGGGGGATAACCCCAGAAGATGCTGTAAGAGTGACATTGTGTCACATTTAACATTGTAGATACTTTAGGAAACCATAAGGGCAGTGGGGACTGCCAAGAGGAGTTCCAATACAGGTGAATTTTGAGCATGCAACCCAGAAAACAGAAATCCATTCTGCAAATGGGGTGATGAAATGGGAGTATTTTGACTTGGTATTCATTAGATTGATGATTTTTACTTTCATTGAACTCTCCAAAGTGCAGCATTTATTTTTCTGTTAAGTTTAACCTGAAAAACTATTTTGAGTCAGTTTTACCTTTACAATATTTTTCCCTCCTCAGGCCATTTGGACAGTGCTACGAGTTTCTAACACTGCATACAGTGAAGAAATACTTCCTTCCAGTTATAGAAATGGTTCCACAGTTTTTAGAAAACTTAACTGATGATGAACTGAAAAAAGAAGCCAAGAATGAAGCCAAAAATGATGCTTTGTCTATGATAATCAAATCTCTAAAGAACTTAGCCTCAAGAGTTCCAGGGCAAGAGGACACTGTAAAAAACTTAGAAATATTTAGATTAAAAATGATACTTAGGTAAGACTGTTGTCTGTTGTAATTTCATTTATTCTGATTTGATTTGAGTTGACTGAGTTGATTTGATTTGGACCCTCCCTTTCTATCAAGAAAAATGGAACTAAGAGCAGCATATAGTCACAAATAAGCTTCATTAAAACAATAATAAAACAAATGTGTTGAAACACAATTAAAAATACAACAGTAACAACAACAATAGCATACAGGTGTGTGTGTGTGTGTGTCCTGTTGTGCTTTTCTTATGCATATATTTCTCCACAGATTATTGCAAATTTCATCTTTCAATGGGAAAATGAATGCACTAAATGAAGTTAACAAGGTAATATCTAGTGTGTCATATTATACCCATCGACATGGCAATCCTGAAGAGGAAGAATGGCTTACAGCAGAAAGAATGGCAGTAAGTTCAGTTGCAGTTATATGGTTCAAATCTATTTCAGTAATTTTGCATCTTAATTGCAAAGTGCCTTTTTCATAACAATTTGATTTTGATGTAGTTGTGTCCATATTATACTTTTCAGCCGATAGAAAGAGACAGTGGCTTATATAATTATCTTTTAATGACTTACTGTTTTTAAAGAATGCTAATCCCAAAGATAGTTTAAGAACCATATAAAATTAAATTCAAAATAGCTAATGAAGAGACAGGTGTAGCAAATGACCAAAACTTTAGAACTAAAGGCTTGCAAACAAAACATTCTTCATTAAATGTCTTGATGTTAAAAAAGTTTCCTACAAGTTTTCAAGGAGATCATTAATTTTGGTGTTACTACTGAAGAGGTTACCTCAAGGGTTATAAAACTCATAGTAATTCATTGGAGCAGAAAACTTTGATAGTAGCATGTATTTTATATTTTAAGCTCAAATCTAGTGTTGTAGTGTTATAGGGACAAAAAAGTGCTAAGTGCAGACTTTAAAGAAAAAGGCAAGGTTGTTGGAGAAATGTATAGACTAAGTTGTGCTTTCATGCAACATCTGTGTTCAAGATGTTGCTCTCATATCTCTGCTCTTGGAAAGAACAGTTGAAGCATCTGTCAAAACTACACAACCATATTATGTTGGATATCAGAATCTAGACCATGGGCAGGTTGATTGCATAACTGGTTCTTGGTTATTGTAGTATCAGCTACATGTATACACAGCATTTGAATGATGTGAAAACTGGAATAATTGGTTGAGAAGTTTTCTTACAGAACAGATAGACTGTGGTGGCCAGTATTAGAACCCCTTGGTTCACACTGTTATAAAAATGTTTAGTTCCATTTGAGGGTTTTATAATGTGTTACTTGCTGTCAGATGAAATAAACACAAATGGAACAACCATGTTTTTATTTTATGTTTAATAAGTTTTGCCATCTTTTAAATTGTAGGAATGGATCCAACAGAATAACATCTTATCAATTGTGTTAAGGGATAGTCTACATCAACCTCAATATGTAGAAAAATTAGAGAAAATTCTTCGTTTTGTCATCAAAGAAAAGGCTCTCACTCTGCAAGACCTTGATAACATTTGGGCTGCCCAGGTAAAGACTGAACAGCTATAATTTTATTTTGTATCACCTGCACACGCATCACTCCCACCCACCCACATAGAGAGAAAGAGCACATGAGTGCACTTCCATGTAGCCTGAAGGGTCTAATCCTGTCTAATCTCAGAAGCTAAGTAGAGTCTGGACTGGTTGTAATCTGGATTGGTGATGTAATGTTGTAACACCCAGAGAACTTCGGGTGGTAGAGAAATGTAATGAATAATAATAATAGTAACAATAAGTCTCATTTGGAGTTTAAGCCATTTATTGTACTCTGGTATAGGTGTTAAACTATTAAACTATGGGTGTTAAAGAATTTACCATTCTTTCTATGAATCACATGATTATTAAACTACATTGTTCTGTGGCAAATACAAACTTTTACTTAGTACACAAATATTGTGTTACCTGGCAAAAGAAATTAATATAAATGACCCAAGAAAGTTTCATTATGTTATTGGTACAATTTATCTTGTGTCATCAAATATAATAAAATATGATAAATTTATTTCAGCTCTTACTGACCTACTGCATCTAATATTGTAACTAAGCCTAAGCATGTGTAGCAGAAACAATCATTTTCTGTTTAACACTTCCTTCACTTCCTTCCTCCTTTTTTTCTTTTTCCCTGGGTTAGATTTTAGATCATACACTCCTTGATTAGGATACTTGCTTTCTTGTACTCTGTAAAGTGCCAAGTACACAAAGAAGGTGCAATTACTCAGTTTTTTTAGAATTAGTTTAAGTGATTGAGAAGTGGACTGAGCTGAAATTTTTTGGCTTTTCAAACTGCGCTAGTCATGTTCCATTGATGTTTAATTTATTGCCTTTGGAGCTAAAATTTTGTGTCTGATTTCCTAACAAAATTTAGAGTTAAACAGAAGAGAAAGAAGAGTAGGAGGAGGCACCAGTGGAGTGGAAGCATAGTGAAAAAAAGAAAAGGCAGATCAGAGTGGGTGCATTGAATTTGAGCAAAAAAGGAGGCAAAATATTAAAGCAGTGAGGGATGATGATAGGTATAGGCAGATCATCAAAGGTGCAAAAGAACCACTTGGGATTGCCAGAGTTGGTGCTGGTCAGCGAGGTAAAATGCTAGTACTTCTGCATCGTTTCCCTGTGACAGGCAAAGATGGACAGTATTTATACTTCAGGCCTTTAAACTAAACTTACCTATAGTCATTCTTACTTTTCAGTGTCTAATATTCTTAAAGCACTATAAGTTGTTTGTTTATAAGATGACGCTCTGTAAATAGGTACAGAATGATCAGATTATCCATCACCCTAACTTTCTTAAGGGAATTCACAAAGAACAGAGGATGTACCTCCTTAGCTCTAGCAGACTTAGTTTTAACAGTTTCACCAAACTCAGTCATTCAAGACCCCTGCTTTCTGAAGTCATCTATTCTCATTGCTGTCCTTTATGCCTGAATCTGACTTCAGACTGTCCTGTTTCCCTATTCTCCTTAAAACTCCTCTTTTCCAGAAAACCTCTGGATCCTCTCCTAGATGCTGTACCTTAATGCAGTGGTTCCCAACCTTTTCTGTGCCCCACACCCCTAGAAAATATTTAATTTACATTCACATCCCCTACAAAAATAATACCACATTGAAGATAGTCAGTTTTCTAATTTTTGAACCGCAAATTGAACCATGTACAGTACATGGACAAACAGACTGGACTAAGAAGAAGCTTTTAACTCTGTGTATAAAATTCAAATATAAATTGATCAATTAGGGGGAAAAATGTAAACAGTAAAATCAGTCCCAAGTGTGAAAATTCAATGACTTCTTTGTTCCTGCGTCTCGTTCATGATTTTGTCAAAATGTGGACTTTCATGTTGATGTGATCTGCAAGTCTGCCTGTGGATTCAGGCAATTCCTAGATTTTCTTTTGATTGACAAAGAACTGAATGCAAATGCAACCAAAATAATAATAATAATTTAGTTTTGGGATAAATTTTTGGTAAAAAATGTTGCAATCTGTCAATTCTGGCAAATCACAAGACAGCCTTCCTTTTTGAGGACCTCCTGGGGGTGTGGGCACCCTGCCTTAATGTAATGAAGGCAATATATATGTAATTTAATCATATTCTTCCTCCTGCTTACAAATATTTCTATTTCTCCCTCTTCTGTTCTTTTCCTACATTTAATGTAGATTGAAAACCTCTTGGAGTAGTGTTCTGCCATACCTTTTCTTTGCATAGTCTGTGAATAAGAATTATGTGAAATATTTTAATGCCACTCCAAGTGCATGTGATTTACTCTTTGTGGGACACCTTACGGGCAAATGGTTGTAATAGAAGTATAAGATATTTGGAACAGTGATACCTTGGTGTAGTGATAACCACAATTGCTGTAAATATTATTTCTTATCAAGGCAGGGAAACATGAAGCCATTGTGAAGAATGTACATGACCTTCTTGCAAAATTGGCCTGGGATTTCTCTCCTGAACAGCTTGACCATCTGTTTGATTGTTTTAAGGTAACTGAACTATCTACTTCTGTCATTCATCAGAGTCATAAAGATAGAGCAGAACATAAGTATTACTCTAAGGAAATAACAGAGAAAATACTTTGATTAGGCAAACTGACGTACTTTTTGCTAAGTTTCTTACACCTTGAGACCAAAGTGCTACTTAAGTGTTAAAAAAATCCAAATAATTGATCTTATGGGAAATACGGATAGTTATTAAAGTTGTAGATTATTTAGCTAGAACATAATTGGAGTTTGTTTCCCAACTATATCAAATTATACATTTTAATTAAACAAATAATTCACACTTGGCTTACATAGAAACCTCTGCTATGGTGACTATAATCCAGAATTCAGTTTCTGCTTAAAATCCCATCAGTGGTTTGTGTGCATATAACTAGTTCATGGATAAAAGCCAGTGAAGATAAATCTGCAGCTAGTTAGGCTTGAATCTTAGATTCTTAGAAAATGTTAGATTTGACAGTTATGTAAAAATAGAAACAAAACTTGCTTTAATACTATTTTTGCCCTTCACCTGAAATAAAATTCATGAATTCATTCTAAATCAAGAAAGGGCTTTTCATTCCAGCTTTCTGTTATTTCTTAGTATTGTGAAATATAGTCAGCATAATTAATACCCTGATTACAAATTCATTCAAGAGAGGTCTTGTAAAATTATCTAAAATACCGTGGGTCTTCCCATTTTTGATAAACCGTTCAGTGCTGGTATCTTAATCAGTATTTCTGGAAAGGGTAGACGATTTATACATGTCTAGTCTATTTAAATTGTACTTTAAAATAAGAACTTTCCTAAATAGCATTTTATTAATATGACACCTTTACATTACCATTGATTTGTAGGTCTGTTGATTTTTAATGACGGTTTCTCTTTGTTTTGTAGGCAAGTTGGACAAATGCAAGCAAAAAGCAGCGTGAAAAGCTACTTGAACTAATTCGTCGTCTTGCAGAAGATGACAAAGATGGTGTGATGGCTCACAAAGTACTGAATCTTCTATGGAATTTAGCACATAGTGATGATGTTCCTGTTGATATCATGGACCAGGCTCTCAGTGCACACATTAAAATCTTAGATTATAGTTGTTCACAGGTAAAATATATCTTGTTTTAAAGTATAAAAAATATATATAATTTAATTTATAAAATATATCCTAACCCAAGCCATTACCACCAGGTTGGTTGACTTGTAAATTAACTGTAGTTCAGTGTTACATGAATGAGCCTTCTGATTGTTTCTTTCTGTTTTATAGTTTGGGGTATTGGGGAAAGAACTTTATTATAATTGGAATATTCATCTTGGTATTCTGCCAGCTATCCTGTAAGGTTAAACACAAAAAGTGGGAAAAAGTTTGTTAGTTTTGACTAAACTGTCAGCTGGTCCCATAGACCTACATTTCAATACACATTGCTAGTGCCAAACTGTGACATAATGATTAAAACAGGGAGCCAGAAATTAACAGACTTCCTGAAAACTTCTAGTCTGCTGCATTCTGTAATAAAATATTTAACTTTTCAGGATCGAGATACACAAAAAATACAGTGGATAGATCGTTTTATAGAAGAGCTTCGCACAAATGACAAATGGGTCATTCCTGCATTAAAACAAATTAGAGAAATTTGCAGTTTGTTTGGTGAAGCACCACAAAACTTGAGGTGAGCAGTTAAAGTTTTCATTTCTTTAATGGTTTAGGTATGTAAGTTGCAAAGTTCATATATTTAGTATTATTGAAATACAGTGGGAAAAATTAATACACAGTGCATATAATTACATCTACAGTCATGCCCCATACTTCAAACTTAATTTGTTTTAGGATGCTGTTTGAACTCTAAATTGTTTAAAGACTGAATCAGTTTTGCCTATTAGAAATAGCGGAAAGTGAATTCATTCATTCCTAAACCCTAAACAATACCCATTTTGATGAACTTAAACAGCAAATATGGCTTCCTGAAATGAATTAAGTTTGAAGTAGTAATGTTATGTTAGTGCATTTACTGTACCTTAGTGAGAAGTGATTATATATGAGGTGTGATCAAAAAATATGGTGAATGTTTAAATTAAAAAAAAACAGTAAAAGACACATTGCCATTAATCCTCCTCAAAATACTCCCCCTCACTTTGAACACATTTATCCCAATGCTCTTGCCACTTTCTGAAGCAGTTCTGGAAGTCCTCTTTTGTGAGTATCTGTCATGCCTACCTCAAATGTCCTGAATCGATTCAAAATGTTGATCTTTCATGGTCATTTTGACTTTGGGGATGAGCCAGAAGTTGCATGGTGCCAGATCTGGTGAATAAGGTAGATGAGGACTCACCGTAATGTATTTATTTGACAGAAATTGCCATACCAGAAGCCATGTGCGTTTTGAATGGAACTGAGCTGTGTTGAGTGGCTACATGGTTAGAACCATGCATTTTTACTAGACTTTGCTGGATTTTGGGCCAGACTGGACTGGGGTTTGGTTGAGTGGTGCTCTTTCTTCATTCTACAACAGTGACAAGGACCTGCCTCCAGGAAGTCAGCTTGTCAGTCTCCCATAAGTCTCCTATATGTGTAAGGCATACACACCATGGAGAAGAAAAACAGGCTGCTTACATGTAACTGTAATACTTTGAATAATCACGGTATCGTGGTCACACGTAAAGGGGTGTGAATGGCACTTGTTTCAAATTAGGTATCAACACTCCTCCGTTCTGAGGCCACAATTAGCCATTCTGGCAAACTAAGGGAATGGTCAGGAACCTGATAGTGGCATACAAGGTGATGGTGAGTTTTGGTGATGGTGCCAAAACTTCTCAGCTATGGAAGCTTCCCAAATTGAGGTTTGGTGGAGGTGTAGAGCCCCTATGTTTGAATGTACAGATCACCACTTGAAGAACTACAAGTAAGCAACCTGTTTATGCTCGCCTCTCCATTCTGTGTTCCAGGCTAATGGCTTTGCTTCACATGCCAGCTTTCCAGCTGTTAAATGAGAAGCAAAGCAACAAGTTAACTTGTTTGCAGCCTTGCTTTATCATTGCCTATGAATGGTGCCTCCTGTACTTTGTATAAAGACTCTATTTGGGGCATTGTTGAGGCAGAGCTGCACATTAGGGATAGTATGAGTTGCACACCCATGTATCACTTGGATTGGCAATTAAAATGTTGAAAATAATTGAACAAATCTCATGTGCAAAAACTTTTTCTTAAAAAGGGTGATAAAAAAATGACAGCTGCTCCAGTGTGTCTCTTGAGCATTTTGAGGGGCAGTTGGTGGTTGTCAGAATGAAGAGAAGAGTTGTTGGAGAATATGAAAAGTGATTTCCAGGGGAGCCGGGGGGGAAAAAAAACCCAGTGACTTGGAAAAAAGGTGTGGTTACAGTAGAGAGAGAAGCAAGGTGGGTCATGTCACAGAATCCCCTGGTATACCTACAAGAGTACTAAGAAGCAAAGAGGGTGGTGACAACCCAGAATAAGTTCTGCCACCTGTCAGGCGTGCTGTGGGTAGTTTGTGAAACAGCTCACACTGTATAATTTATTTGCAGGGTGGGTTGCTGTGTCATATGAACTCACACATGCCTGTAACATTTCTATATTGTTTAATTGCAGTCAAACTCAACGAAGTCCACATGTCTTTTATCGCCATGATCTAATCAATCAACTTCAGCACAATCATGCTCTAGTAACGTTAGTTGCAGAAAATCTTTCAGCATATATGGAAAGCATGAGGCAATATGCTAAAGGTGGGTTAATTTTAATTTTGTGTTGAATTACAGAAACTGTAATCCTGTGTATGCCTATGCAGAAGTTCTGTTGATTTCAGTGTATTGGTTTACAGGCTAACAAACTCATTGCTATTTATCTCATTCTTACACATTGTTAAATACTGAAGGCTAATATATTGCTCTCATAAATCTTTACATTGCCATGCAATTGTGCAAAACATTTTAAAGGTGTAAGGGTAGAATCCTATCAGTTGCAACTTGGGTGATTATAAACCCCAGAACTTGGGTGCTCATCCAGTGCAGAGCTGGGGACGCACTGGAGGTAATCTCTATCTCCCTGCTCCTTCCCCTGTGTAATTCAGCTGTATGGCTGTTTTTGGCTGTTTAGCTCAGGCACTCCACAGGGGAGGAAAGAAGACTGTGGCACCATCAGGATTCTTTGTATCCTGGCAGCCATCCCCTCCCAGCCCCCTTTTATCCCTCTCTGAGGTTGAATTTCCACCATTGGTGAAGCAGTTAGTGTAGTTTTTTCCACACTAGCTGGAAGTTTGGAATTCTGCCTTCTACTTCAATTCTGGGAATCTGAAGTATACTATGGCACCCCAGGCACTGTCAAGAGGCATAGAATCATCTTGTAAATATAGTGTAATTGCATAAAGAGCAAAGGATTACCGAGGGTGGTATTGGAGGACAAGATCATTCTGATAATGCATTACTAATTTTGTGGTGTTCCAACTTCCTTGTAAATTATTTGAGCTGTCACTTTATAATAGCTCTATATATTATTTTATAGTTTACTGCAGAAATAAAAGGTGTATCTGAATAAAACACAACACATAGCTCTTGTTTAAAGCTGAATTAAGTATGTAGACTAGTCAGTCAACAATGTAATGTCGAAAACAATTCTAAGAATGTTGGGATTGATTGTCTTGTGATTAAAGATGCATAGCATTGTGGAACTAGTCTTTTCTTTGGATATTATATATTTTTCTCTTAAATTTGCAGAGCATGGAGAATATGATCCACAAACTGTAAGACCAGGGAGTAGGTACAGTCATGTGCAAGAAGTTCAAGAACGGCTGAATTTCTTACGGTTGGTTTGAATAAAACTTCTTATATATTGAGCGAAAACATTCAACAAATACTGTTCAAAAAGCAAAGAGAAACAGATTGTTATTCTTGTGAAGAGCTGGTCTACAAAATGGTATTTGTCACAGAAAAAGCACGGCTGGAAGCCAGTCCCCCTTGTATGATTTAGTCCTCAGTTTTCCAGCCCAGAGGCATCATGTATTCCATGTACTTAGGTTTCATGTATTCCAGCAGTCAGTGTCTTTCATATACTTACCTTCCAGATCTCTGTCTTTTTGTTGAAACACTGAGGCTTTTTCTAACTGTTGGGAGAGGGGAAGCAATCCTATGGTCCTTTGAAAGCTTCTGAAGGGCCATAAGATATTTTCTTTGGAAATCGGATAGCACTTCAACCGGTATGTGAAGATCACCTCTGCCATTTCTCCAACTCTGCATAGGATATCTGTAAACCTCTTCAAGGCTTATGCCCATTGTGATAGGATTGCACCCTTATTCAACCAGTAGGGTGGGGGTAAAGATTACTGCTCATTTTGTATCATTGCAGGCACATCTTGTGGTTTATCAAGGCTTGTTTGAATGAACTGATTTTATGATAAGAGAACAACACAGGGATGCATAAATACTAAAGGGAACTTTTAAGGAACCAGAAGGAAACATGTAACAAAGTGGTCATGGAAGGAAATTACTCATGTACAAATTTTACTTTCTTTGCCTTATCTGATAAGAATCTGGAAAGGCTGGAATCAAATGTTTCTATGGATGTAGCTATTCTGCAGAGGAGAGGTTCTTAAGAAGTGCACTTCAATTCTTGGAGGGTATTTGTTCCTATTGTACTAGTACCTCTTAGGTTTACTGGGAAACTGAAGGGGATTTAATTAGCAACAATAACAAGGATAAAAACAGTTATAAAAGTCAAAAACCAAGTCAAAATAGTTCCCACAATATATTTATTCCTGATGTATTTTGAGAAGTCTCTTTATGTCTCGAATCTTTGAGTTGTTTCTCTACCTTCCTAAAGAACCATTGGGGCAACTTTGTTTCTGGCTTGTTCTTGAGTTTAATTATTTCAGTTTACCACTGAAACTAAGTTAACCTTAAATTTCTATAAACTACTAATTCTGTTATGACCTGGAAGAATGTTGAGCAATAGGCCAATTAAACATGTCTGGAGAATCATGAACTTAAGAGTAATTTAAGATAAGACAAATTGTTACACAGCAATTACAGGTGACGTTGTAGGTGATTCATATCAAGGGGCGGTTAAAACTAAGAAGGGCTTTTTAAAAAAGAAGACACTGTTGGCCTGAGTGAGGCTAATCAGTGGAGATGTTCCTTCCATGCATTAATTTTTGAATATGTTCTGTAAGAAAGAGATAAAAACAATTTAATGTAACGCTAGGCCTTCTTAAAAGAATTAACACAATTTTATCTACTTCGGTAGTGTATACTCTGTGAAGGGTTCCTGAAGCATTTTTAAATTGTTCAAGTAGGGAAATAGATAATTTTTGTTTAACTGAAGTTTTCCAAGAAACTGATACTGAAGATTTGTCAAACAGCATAGCAATAACCTATTTATTTAGGTTGCTTGTATTATATAATTTACTTAACTCTCCTGTGCATTTATAGTTAGGGTCTAACATGTGTCTGTTTACCTTATATCTGGTGAAGTCAGTATGTAGTTGACATTGAGCCATGTAAAAGATTAAGTTCACATTGTGCATATTACATAGTCTAGATAAACTTTGAGTGTGTTTGGGGAGATACCAAAATGTTTAAGTAGATTAGGGTATACTTAGTAGGTGTTGCTGTTTTCCAGTAGTCACACATTCTAATTCTAATTACTTTTTCTTTATTTTGTGCAAGATTTTTACTGAAAGATGGGCAACTATGGCTCTGCGCTCCTCAGGCAAAGCAAATATGGAAATGTTTAGCTGAAAATGCAGTCTACCTGTGTGATCGTGAAGCCTGTTTTAAATGGTATTCTAAACTGATGGGAGATGAACCGGATTTAGACCCTGACATTAATAAAGACTTCTTTGAAAACAATGTTCTTCAATTGGACCCTTCACTTTTAACAGAAAATGGTATGAAATGTTTTGAGCGTTTCTTCAAAGCTGTGAACTGTCGAGAAGGGAAGCTAGTTGCAAAGAGACGAGCCTACATGATGGATGACTTGGAGTTAATAGGATTGGATTATCTTTGGAGGGTAAGTGCTAAAGTTCACCTATCTATCTAAATTGTGGCTTATAGTAATTGACAGAAAATTGTTTGAAAAATAACAGTGCTGGTTTCTGAACCAGGCCAATAAAATACAAATTCTGTAAGAGTGTGTTTGCATGTGTGAGTTGCATAGCATCACAGCTCTTTGAAAGAAAGTCTCTTGTGTGTCTTAATTTTTCATTGCCTATTTTGATAGACTTTGAATTGTTCAGAGAGCACTATCAAGATGTGATTGGTGAGGTCAGTAGATTTCTAGAGTATGTGCTGCTAAATTGGAACAGTCCATGGTTATCATGGAGACCACAAAATCCTGAGCCACACCAGATAGGAAGCCTTCAGCATAAATGTTGAAATTCCCCCAGAACGAACCCTCACATCCAAGACCACCTCCATCAACTCTGGTAGGGAGACTTGATGGGTTGCAGGATGGGCAGTATACCAACAGATTTCCCTGCCTGTCCCTCTAGCACAGAATAAGATGCAAACACTCAGACTAGTAGTCAGAAGGAGAGGGAACCTGGAGAGAGAGAGTGTTCCTCCAGATTGTGGTGTCTTTCCAGTCTGCCCTGATGCTGAATCAAGTGCCCGGCAGGCATCACTGGGAGAGACCAACACTTCACTGTTCACCCACCTGTCTTGGTTATACATGCTAGATCATCACTTCATTGCCTGTTAAATTGTGGAAGAGAGAAATCTTATTCTGCACTGATTAGGCATTTAAAAGCAGCACCCAGAGGCCTGAGGGCAAACTGATATGGCAACCATCAGAGCTCAAGGTGCAAGGAGGACCCAAACAGCTGGCATTCCTCTTGCTTGGCCAGTCCTCCTTGCAGCACTATATCTCTTTCTACACACCACTACACTGATTAAGTCTTCCCCAGTCTCCCCAGTTAGCCCCAAAGCTTCCCTCCTAAGTGCAACTGAGGGAGCATCCTGGTATATAACCATGTTATGTATTTATTCAAGTTATAGCTTTCTTTTTTCTTAAACTTAAAGCTGCTTACATAATTCTCCCCCTGCTCTCAATCTTATCCCCACAACAACAACCCTGTGAGGTAGGTTGGACTGAGTCTGACTGACCCAAAGTCACCCACTTGGTTCCATGGCTGAGTGGGGCTAGAACCCAGATTTCCTGAGCCCGTCCTGTGCTCTTAACCACTATATCAGTGCAAATTGAAGGGCAAGCAAGGGAAAAATATGGTGGCTTTACCCTCATGGTATCCCAAATATTCAATGGAAATGGGTATCATAAATTATTTGTAGAGATGCTTCTGTAATAGTTTTACTTAATATTCTCAAATATTAGCTGGATGATGAATGAAGGGGGTAGCATCAGTACAGTGCTGAGACTCAGTGCTTATCTTGCTTTGATTCCTGACATGTTGAACCATTGCCTGGACACAGTGAAGGATTGGATGTAGGTTAACAAGCTGAGGCTCAATCCAGGCAAGATAGAGGTGCTGTTGGTCAGTAGGAAAGTCAGTCCAGGATTAAAGATGCAGCCTGTCCTGGATGGGGTGATACTTTCTCTGAAGGATCAATTTTAAATATTGAGGTGCTTCTGGACCTAGAATTAGTTCTAGAAGGTCAGGGAGCTGCTGTGGCCAGGAGCACCTTTCCCATCTTCAACTGGTCTGCCAGTTACATTCCTTTTTGCAGAAGACAGATCTGGTTACAGTGATACCAGTTAATCTTCTCCTATTTAAATTATTGCAACACTACATGGGGCTGCCTTTTAAGAGTGCTTGGGGACTGCAGCTAGTGAAAAATGCAACATGTCAGGATGCTTTCCAGCACACATGTCATTTGTTGACCCTGTTCCACTGTTCTAATATAACATGCACTGGCTGCCATTCTCTTTCAAGGTTTTAGTTCATATATTACACACACACACACACACACACACACACACACACACACACACCCTAAATCAGGGGTCCTCAAACTTTTTCAACAGGGGGCCAGTTGAAAGGTGCTGGCGGTGGGTGTGGGCTGGTAAGGGTGTGTGTGCGGCGAGGCAGGGGCTTGCTTGTTCAGAGATTGTTTTCTCCGAGTGAGTCCAAAATGATCTCCCCGCAAGCAAGCCGCTGCCTCGCCCGCATGGTGGTGGCAGTGGGCGCTGGTGCAGGCATGGCAAGTCCAAAATCTCTGACGTGGGCCAGATAAATGTGTATGGCAGGCTGGATCCAGCCCGCAGGCCGTAGTTTGAGGACACATGCCCTAAATGGTCTGAGGCCAGACCGGAAGACCACTTCCTTCCTTATGAACTTGCCTATAGCTTAAGAACTTTTCAGATGCTCTTCTGCTGCATATTCCACCCCTAAAGTGGGAACATAGAGTACGGCATTGTCTGTGGCAGCATCCTTCCTGTGGAGCTCTATCCCATAGAAATTTAAGCTGGTCCAATCTTTGTTCAATTGTAGTCTAGTTGTTAAAACTTTTTTAAAGTATTTTTTAGTATTTTGAAAGCAATAACTCTACACTGTTTAAACTCTGTTTTTTAAAATCTTAACTACTCTTAATTTGCCACTGGTAATTTTTTTAAAAAATTCTTTAAACTTTTAATGGTAAGTTTCCTTGGAGGTTCTATTTGGGCCCTAAGGTGATCTCAGCAAATTAATTTGGAAATTAGTCAGGTGACATAATCAAAACTAAGGTTTTACCAGAAACCATTTTCAGTAGAATTTAAATACAACTATGTTGTACTTGCACTTTAAAGTAGTTCATGCTTTGTATTGTGACTTTAGGTTGTAATTCAAGGAAATGATGACATTGCCAGTCGAGCAATAGATCTCCTAAAAGAAATCTATACCAATCTTGGTCCAAGGTTACAAGTTAATCAGGTAAAACATTTTAAAAGAATTCAACTTGCTTTTAATAATTGATGTTTTCAGTTGTAATTTCCATAGAAGAAAGCTGCCTTCTTTGTTTGAAAACTATATTGAAAATAGAATTTTACTCAATTTTGCTTTAGCTACTTCTAAGTAAAACAGGATTTCTTCTAGCATCAAAGGATCTAAGGTCATTGCTTGCTTTGTTTTTCTCCCAACAAAAAAAAAAAACATGCTTGGTTTTTTTTTTTTTGTAACAACAGACGCCTGTTAGAAACACCAGTGCTTCTAGACCTCTTCTCTTGAGTGTGCTGACTAACCCTTTGGCATTTTCTTTTGTCTGTACACTCTATAACTTATGGATGACACTCACGCAAAGAAACTTTCACCCTGATCCTGAGCATAATCACTGATTTTGTGAACCTAATTTTAACTGCCCAGGTTTAATGTTTCATTTTGCTGCCTTGGCATCAGCAGTAGTTCTCCCAGCTAAAGTGTTAATGTATTGTCAGAATGTAAGTGTAATAAATGTTCTTTGGATTTGTACCAGTTCTTTTAGTGTTGTAAAATATGATGGCCTTGTCAATGGATTGAATATATATAGATAATTTTTTCATAGTTTTTTTTAAATTACAAAAGACAAACCTCCATTGTATATTACTTGCATGGAAAGCACTCTTGAGGAGGAGGAGGAGGAGGAGGAGGAGGAGGAGGAGGAGGAGGAGAAGTGGGGTCAGTACGTATATCTGGATTGAGTAGAGCTGCAGGAATTCACACATGAGCCCTCTACAAAACTGGTAAACATAGGGGGTGAAGAGCCTTATGTGTAGGTTCTTTATTTAAGAAGTATGTATTCAGTATATGGATATCAGGAGTGGGAAAAGTTCAGGTGCATAAGGACCAGGGCCAGAAATGTAGCCCTGCCCTCATGCATGATCTGCACATGCGTAATAAAAGAAGAGAAATTCACTTCGTGTCTCTTGTTGTGACTGTTTTAGTTTAACATAATACAGCTGACCTGGTTTTTGTTGGCATTTCTGTAGGTAGTAATTCATGAAGACTTCATTCAATCCTGCTTTGACCGTTTGAAAGCATCTTATGATACTTTGTGTGTTTTGGATGGCGATAAAGACAGTATTAATTGTGCAAGGCAAGAAGCGATACGAATGGTGCGAGTGTTGACTGTTTTAAGGGAGTATATAAATGAATGTGACAGTGATTACCATGAAGAGCGAACAATCCTACCAATGTCAAGGTTTGTGGAAATGTTAGAATTACAGTGATTTAGGATGTGATCTTAGTCATACTTCTATACATGCTTAGCATTGTGATGCTTAAAACGTTTCCAGTGTAGCTTGTGTACACACACATACACATGGTAGAATAATAAGTTACATTTTAATTGCTTTAGTGAAAGGAAAATGAACATTTCTCTTAAGCAAGCTGTTACACAGACTATATACTATCCATAGCCTTTTAAAGTTTACTCTTATCCAGTCAAGTGAATAAGTAAAAGAAATCACAAGTAAGAATTTTTTCTGATCTCCTACCCATGTTAGTGTCCTGCTTATAAAATAACTGTCTTTAAGATAAAAAAAATAATATTTTAATTTGTTCTGGCAGCATTATATTCTGAAACTGTTTTAATGTTTATCTTTTCCTATATTCCCAGAGCTTTTCGTGGTAAACATATCTCTCTGGTAGTTCGTTTTCCCAACCAAGGTCGGCAAGTGGAAGATTTAGATGTTTGGTCCCATACAAATGACACAATTGGTTCGGTCAGACGTTGCATTCTAAACCGTATTAAAGCCAACAGTGCGCATACGAAAGTAGAATTATTTATTGGAGGCGAGCTAGTAGATCCTGTAGATGATAGGAAATTAATTGGACAGCTCAATCTCAAAGATAAAACAGTAAGTATGGTTAAAACTAATCTATTGATAAACCATCATATTTTTTTAATTTTTTCTCTGTTGATGTCAATGACATTATTTATAATAGTGAGATTTCATGTGACTAGGGCTTAATGTCAATTTAATACTTTATTTATTTAGAAAATTTCTATGCCGCCCCATTCGCCGAAACCTCGGGGCGGCTCACAAAACATTAAAATATAATACATTAAAAATATAAAACGAATCTTGAAATTCACTTGTTACAGTGATAAAAGTTTACAATTTTACTCAGTGTACTAACTTGGACCTGCCTATTAATTTCTCCCCTAGCTAATTACAGCCAAGCTTACGCAGATAAGTTCCAATATGCCTTCAAGCCCTGATAGTTCTTCTGATTCCTCTACTGGCTCTCCTGGCAACCATGGCAATCATTATAGTGATGGTCCAAATCCAGAAGTTGAAAGTTGCTTGCCTGGAGTTGTAAGTAAAAGAATTGCACACACAATGTAACTATGGTTTTAACCAACATTGAAATTTCCTATCAGATGTTAGGGGCTCATATCTTACAACACGTTTTTATTCTTATTTTAGATTATGTCACTGCATCCTAGATACATCTCATTTCTTTGGCAAGTTGCAGATTTAGGCAGTAGCCTAAATATGCCACCTCTCAGAGATGGTGCACGTATCCTTATGAAATTAATGCCACCAGGTAAAACTTTATGTTCATTTTTATTATCTTCTATAAACATCAGTGCAGTGAATGCTATCCAGAAGATTTGCACGCATTTGCAGAATTTTCTCAGTTGTCTGCTCAGAAGTTAGCTCCACGGAATTTGTTCGGTTCCTAATCAAGTTTAAAACTGGTATAGAGATTTAAGCTAAGCTGAAAACAGAAATCAGAGATGATAGAGCATACATACTGCTGTTATTTCTGTTTTAGAAACTGATAGTCTATTGTAGGAAATTCTTGGAAACATTCTAGTGTTTGCCACCTCTCCAGCGTGTAGCCTCTAATTGAAGATTTAAGCATAGATCTTTAAAAAAAAGACTGAAATCATATAACTTCAGCAAAGTAATCCATTTGTCTGTGCTTCCTGTAGTTAAAATCTGTATTTAAAACAATTTCAATATAAATCAAAGGTATCCTTTAAAAATCTATGTTGTATTTTTGTAGTGGAAAAATCATTTTGAAAACTGCTTTTATTTCAGATAACACTACTGTAGAGAAGCTTAGAGCTATTTGTTTAGATCATGCAAAGCTTGGTGACAGCAGCCTTAGTCCATCCCTTGATTCTCTTTTCTTCGGTCCTTCTGCCTCACAAGTGCTATATCTCACAGAGGTATGTAATATCTCATTTTTAATATTTTGAGATGTGAAAACTTCCTTCTAGTAGTATTTCCTACGCACTGAATATGGGATAGCATTATGTTAGTAAATACTCAGACAACTTCCCATACCATTGTCATCTTGGAAAAATAGTTCTGGATGAGGACTGTCATCACAGAATATAATGAAGATAATTGTATAAACATATTTCTACATCCTGCAGTCCAGTGTACCTAGCTTAAAGATGTATTTATTAAATTACTATTTTAATCTTCTTTCCCTCCCTTTTACTTCCAGGTAGTTTATGCCTTGTTAATGCCTGCCAATTTACCTCTGGGAGAAGATGCCACAGATTTCCAGTACAACTTCTTAAAAAGTGGTGGCTTGCCTCTTGTGCTGAGTATGCTGACCAGAAATAACTTTCTGCCAAATGCAGATATGGAAACAAGAAGGGGTGCCTACCTAAATGCTCTAAAAATAGCAAAACTGTTGCTAACTGCAATTGGCTATGGCCATGTGAGAGCTGTGGCAGAAGCTTGCCAACCAGTTGTGGAGGGCACAAACCCAATGTCACCGGTAATGCTGATTTTGTGTTCTAAACTGTGTACACCTGATGTTGTCATTTGTTAGGCATTAAATGTTTAGTAATACAACATCATACACAATTCACAATACTTAGTTTAATCATGTTATATGCAGTTCATGTTTTCATTTACAACTGACTTAGCATTTGAATTGAATATATTCATTTCAACCCAAATCTTGGAAATTATGGCCTTCAGTTTCTTCCTGTATGTGCTTCCTGTATTTGACTTTTTAAAATAGTGTTATTCTGAAACCAAGGTTCTGCACTGCATGCTGTTATCCTGAGTTCAGAAATTGTTTCTATATTATGTCATGCTAGTGATACTAATCTTTAACAAATTACATTATAGTCCTTTGGGCAGGTGTAAATAAATTAAAAAATTGCTTAGTTTAATTACAGCTGTGATCTCAGGCACCCTTCCCCAAACTGGTGCCCTTCAGAGGTTTTGGGTCAGAACTCCTTAATACTTGACCATTAACAATGCTGGCTAGGATTGATGGTAGTTGTAATTCTAAATATCTGGAAGGTACCAGATTAGGGAAGGATGCCAGCTTGTAAAGTGTTGTAAACCACCCAGATTGCTTCAGCTACAGGGCGGTATAGAGGAGGAGGAGGAGGAGATGATGATGATGATGTGACAATAAGAAAGAAGAATACATCCAGAGCAGCAGAAGTGAAACATGAAAATTCATATAGCTATTGGGATAAGATATAAGCTGGTGGACAGTTTACAAAGTTATCCAAAAAGATGTGTAATTTGCATATGAAATTACCAGGCATGGAGTAGATACAAAATAAAAAGACTGTGGGAAAAGTTGGCAAGGAAAAATTTTGCCCATAGTGGTAAGAGAGCCATAAGCTTTAGCTTTCTTTGAAGATTCTCTCTTGAAGCTTGTGCCTCACTTATTTTTCTAATGGCTAGACCACAGGACAGTGATGTTGCTGATTGCTGCATGGATATTGTCCTTGAAATTCATTGAAGGTCGTAATAAATTCTAGAGGTTGTATGGAGTTTGCCTATTGCTGTTGAAATCTCATTCTTAGGAAAGTAAGGGCAGTATCCTGTAAGATACTAGGGCTGATGCAAATTATGTTTCTTCCACGAGAGGTCATTGAGGGGCCATCGGTGAGGGTGTTCAAAGATAGGCTGGACATATGGTGGGCATGTCGTGAGTGGAGCCGGGGGTCAGTCTAGATGGCCCGGGCGACCCCTTCTGACTCGCTCTGTTTCTATGTTTCTGTGTTTTCCTAGCAGAATGCCACTAGCATTAGCTGGGTGTAATAGGTTTTCCAGGGAATTCTGCTTTGTCTCTAATGCTATTAATGTTGTGCAAGAGGTCTTTTGCACTAGTGTAAGATAATTTGTATTAGCTTTGGTGTCTATTAGGATATGGCCCACAATTCATAAAGAGCTATTTTACTAAACTTTATCAATTTGTATTTCTGTCTGGTTCTAAATCTTGACTTGCTAGACTAGTAGAGCATGTAGGCATCAGCCTTCCAACTCTGTTCACATAGAGGATGGTGGAAATATATTTTTCCCACTTGTGAATTTGTACCCTTTTTCCATGTTACTTTTTGCAATTAAACATACTGTGTTCTTCCTTGAAAATAATTGAAAATAAATTATTCCAGATCAATCAAGCGACTCATGACCAGGCAGTGGTCTTACAAACTGCTCTGCAGAACATTCCCAATCCAACCTCAGAGTGCATGTTAAGAAATGTAGCAATACGCCTTGCGCAACAAATATCTGATGAGGTTAGTACGGCCTTCGCTATTTCTGAAAAACTTCCATTCCCTGGTCTATGCAACACTAGTTCAGTAGCTAGTCTTAAGGTACTGATTGGAGAATAAGAGAACTACTATCTTTAACAGCCTGAGTTTGAGAACCCGTTACCCTAGTGTGTTTATCTTATTTATTTGATTTATATGCTGCCCCACTAGCCATAGGCTCTCTGGGTGGCTTACATCATAATAAAATCCATCATAAAACAATGTAAAAACAATACGATGCAATCATGTGTTAATAAAGCAGCCAGTGTCCTGTGTTTCTTAAAAATGTGTCCTTTTTTTCTAAAGCTTCAAAATGAATTCTTAGTCTAAACTATATATATGAAAATAAAATTGGATGCAAAAACAAACTAGTCCATCAGCTAGCTTTCTCCATTCTAAGAAGTTTGCTTTTCCTTAGCCGCCATGGATAGCTGAGTAACTTCTGGTCAGTCCAAAACGGTATTGTAAGGGCTATGGAATGTAAACATTCAAGGTCACTAACTTTGAGACAAACGCTAGGTATCAGTGAGTTGTATGTATCTTTTCTTGAACTCCTTAAAGCAGCCTGAGGAGGCTGCAAGTTTAAGTGAAGAAATAGTTGCCAAAGTAGATGGTACTGGGTTCAACAGACAAATAGCCTGCACTGATAGAAAGCAGCTTCTTATGAGATTTAGCTTCCAGTACAAAAACATACACTGACCATGGATAGATTCATGGTTTGGGGGGAATTTATTGCTACAGGGAATAACTAACAATCAGTGGTTTATAAGACTCATCAATCATTTAAGAAATGCAGATGATGTCATATTACTGGGAGAGAGCAACAGCAAATCGAAGCAACTCCTGATGAAGGTGAAAGAAACAAGTGCAATAGCAAGACTGCTGTAGAATATTAAGAAAACAACCATCATGACTACAGAAGGATTACAAAACTGTACCATTAACAGTGCAGACGTTGAAATTGTTTTGTACATGAAAGATGTTATATTTCTTGGCTCTGTTGTCATTTCAAATGGAGACTGAAACCAAGATATTCAATGAAACCTGACACTGGGAAGGGCAGCAATGAACTAGAAAAGATCAGGTGTAGGGGACATTTCACTGGAGAACAGGGGCAAGATCATCCATACTATTGTATTCACAATTAGTATGTATGGATGTGAAAGCTGAACGGTGAAGAAAGCTGACAGGAAGAAAATTGATGCATTTGAAAGTGGTGCTGGCAACAAGTGGGTCCTATATCAAATCAACCCAGAGCTTTCCTTAGAAGTAAAAAAAAAATGACAAAACTGAGGCTGTCGTGCTTTGGGCACATCATGAGAAGGCAATCCTCCCTATAGAGGACAATTGTGCCTGGGAAACTTGAAGGCAAAAAAACAAATGGAAGACCAAATATCAGATGGATTGACTCCCTGAGGGAAGACACAGACTCCATTAGGGAAGAGCTGAGCAAACCTGTCATGAATAGGATAGAGGGCTTTAGGGTTGCTACAAGTCAGAGATGACGTGAGGGCACATAGCAACAAAATTCTAGTTACATGTCATTTTTGAAATTGGACTTGCAAACTAATTATTTATGATGTGTTTCTGTTTTTAGGCTTCAAAGTATATTCCTGATATTTGTGTTATTAGAGCAGTACAAAAAATAGTTTGGGCCTCAGGATGTGGATCAGTGCAGCTGGTATTCAGCTCAAATGAGGACATTAGTAAAATTTATGAGAAGGTAAGGCATTTTAAGGAACATACTCTGACAAACTAGAAAGAGTAATACTTAGAAATGTTGGTTTTAGGTAGCCTCATTGTAAATGGTGAACAGTTGCAGTTTTAAATACGAGGGTTCTTCAGTTTCCTCACTTTTTAATTCTTTATTAAGAATTTCAAAAACAAATTACATCACTTTTCTACATAGTCACCTTCCTTTCTGATGCATTTTTCCTAGCATCATGCCAACTTTTTAATGCCATCAGCAAAAAATATATAAAATATATTTATAAAAGTGCAGAAACGTTTTGAAGAATCCTCATAAATTTCATTTTATAGCTTTTTCAGCTGCAATTTTAGCAATTTTAATATATTTGTCTCTGTTCTGTAGAGATAAAACCTTTATAACTTCTCTATAACTTCCAAGTTTATTAAGAAAATTATTCAGGCTTACCTTATTCAAACATAATTTACTTAGAAGCATTCTCAATGTATTTTGCTAGTTCATATCTCTGTGTTTAGGCTACTGTGTTTACCACAAGGTAGAAATTGCTTAATTTTTCATTTCTTTGAATTAAAAACTAAGGAAAAAGTAAAAATACATTTTTAAATTTTAAATCAGATAAAAACGCACAATTTCTTTCATTTAAAAATAACTATGGTGAAATTTAAACACAAACACACTAAGCCTACATCCTCTGAAAATGAAACAGTGGTTCTATTGCTTGTTCACATTGAGTACTTTTTGGTCTTGGTGACTCTCACATATGGGTTAATGTGTGGAACAGCATTTGGAACAAAGAGCCAAGGTTTTAGGGGGAGCCATGCCCTCTTCCTCTGCACATGCTCTAGGCATGGCTATCGGTTTCTCAGTTGTCTCACTTCCTTTCTGCCACAGTGGAAGCAGCATGCTCTCTACTTCACAGCCCCCCTGCAATCCTTTTTATATTCCATTTCTTCTGCGTTCTCTTTCTTCCCGCCCTCTGAGGCACTAATGAGAATTTCCTCTTTCTTCTGCTATCCTTTTTTCATGAGTTTTTCTCCTTTCTTCCTTTGCCTGTCAGAGACACATGGCCCCAAACCTTCTTCAAAAAGTGTACTCACTGCATTGGAAGGATTCCATCATCTGACTTAGAGTGCCTTCTGTGTTTCAGATACACAGAGAAGGAAGGCTGTTGCCCTCCTTGTAAGATTTTTATTAAATAGACCAGAGAAATAGGTTGTTGCGCCTTCATGCTCTCCCTTGGGAAAAAATCCTGAAAAAGACTTAAGTTGCACAAAGGTACTCCTTACACACTGCTTCAGCCTGTATCTTCACAAGAGTACCTCTGTCATCATCTGACCTCATGGAGGACCCAGTCACCTAACTTTGAGACAGCCATTGTGAGACGCCTATCCAAGTTATGATGGAAAAGACCATTGCTGTCTTCCGTATCAATGAATAAGGGAGCATGCAGTTGTTGTAGCTCAACCTTATTCTTGACATTTGAGAGTGTTGCCTATGGTACCTCATCATCCCAATTGCCATTCATCTGCCGGGGATGAGCAACACCATGGCCAACACACTAAGCAGATATGGAACATACCCAAATGTGTGCTAACTGCACTTAGGGCTAGTCAAAACAACATTTGTTAAATGGGAATATCCCAAAATAGACTTTTTGCCTTAGTAGAAACCTCCAAGTGTCACCAGTTCTGCACCAGAAAAGGTCATGACCCAAATTCTCTAAAAGGTACTTTTTCACACATTGGTGGGTTGTGCCTAACTTAAGCCTTCTTTTCTTTTCCACTGATCACAGAAGTGGTAAACCAGATAAAGAGTATGGGGCACATGGCATATTGTATACTCCTTGTGGCCCTAGCACTTAGGGTTGGCATGTCTTCTCTCTCAGCCACATTCATTCACTTTTCATGCAAACTGGACCTCAACCCAATAAACAGTGAACAGATCGGATACCCAGATCTTCTGTTTCTTTGCCTAACTGCATAGAAAGTCCTCAACAACATGTATTCTCTACCTAGGTACGAGAAGTACTCATAGCCTCCCACAATCCTTCCACTTGTACTTCCTGTGCAATGCAGTAGAAAAGCTTTCAGAACTTTGCCTTTATAGCTTCCTGTGACATACTCATCATTCTAGGCTTTCTTCTGTCACTTTAAAGTAAAAGGCCTAGACTTCTCATCTATCAGCGTATACTTGGCAGTGATATCATACTTCTAAAATACTATCAGTGGATTAATATCACTAATATACAAAAGCTTAGCTTCCTGAGTAACGTATACCCTCTAGTTACCTTATACCCTTCTGGAGTCCCAAGTTATGGAATAAACCCCCACTGGTGCCAACTTTAGTATCTTTGCAGCACCAGGTTAAGACTGTCCTCTACCACAAGGCATTTAATTAGCTTTCTATTATATTAGGGGTTTGTTAGCGACTGAAACAGGTCTTATGATTTAAATTGTATAAGCTGTTGTTGCTTTTTGCATTTGATTAAAATTTGGTTTTAAATTTTGTATGGCAACCTTTTATGACATTTTTATTGCTGTTTGTATTTTATGTGTTGTCGTAACTGCCCAGAGAGCTTTGGCTGTTGGGTGGTATAGAAATAATCATAATCACGACAACAAGTCCACCATGGAGTCTGTTTGTGGTACTGACTGAGCTAACCACTAAAGTATTAAGACCACTAGCCAGGATATAGAACTGTGTCTTCAAACCATGCAAACTGCATTCCTAGTTGCTCTAAATCTTGCACACAGAGATTTCAAACTCTGTGCCTTACAGCAAGATCCACCTTTCCTCAATTTTCACAAAGGTAAGGTGGTCCTCAGTCCCAGTTGCATTATCTTGCCTAAGTTGTATACCAATTTCACTTAAACCAGAACATAATGCTACTGGTTTTCCTTCTTCACATGGCTTCCTAGCTGGAGACCAGACTCCATTCACTGGACAAACATGAGGCTCTTACCTTGTTTGCTGACAGAACATCATCCTTTGGGAAAACTACCCACCTCTTCCCAGACCCAGCAAACACCAGCTAGTTTCCTCTCAGTACCTGGTCAAATGACTTACATCAACTATTTAGTAGGCTTACCATTTGGTTCACCTGCTGTTGCCCCTCCAGTTGAAATGTCACTCTGCAAGGGAAATAGCCTCTTCTTTTGCATTCATCAGAGAAATACCGATACAACAGCTTTGCATTGAGCCACTTGTGCTTAACCTTCCCCTTTTATCAAGCACTATCAGTTAGATGTCAGAGCCAGGCATGATGATTCCTTTGATATGGCTGTTTTTTCAGCCATTGCTTCATAGCCACTCCTACGTGTGAGTCACAGAGACCATGAAGGGGGACAGGTTTCTTACCTGTAACTGTAGCTCTTTGAGTGGTCATCAGTGTAGTCACACAACCCACCCTTCTTGCATATAATTCCTCACAGTTGCTTTTCACTACTGCAGTGGACCTGGAACTGAGGTGCAGTTGGAAGCCATACCTGGAGCACATGCAGAGAAAGGTGTTTCCTGCCAAAAAGTTCATTTAGTTCTAAAATATTCAAAATACTGTTTTGTGCAAGTACATTAACCCATATGTACAAGTGCACAGATCACCATGTGAAGAACAGCAGTTACAACCTGTCTTACCTCCTAATAAAGATGGACATTAAGTTTAGTTTTTTCCTCTCATAAAAATGGCTTTATGGAGCTTACCTTCCAACTCTTGCTTTTCAAATATTTTAGTCTTTGCCACTGTGCAGTAGTAGAGCTCACCTTCTTGCATGCAGAAAGTTCCAGGTTCAATCCCTGGCGTCTTTAGCCAAGACTAAGAAAAAATATTATGTTCTATCGTATTTCAATGTATTTTATTGTGTTGTAAGCCGCCCCGAGGCTTCGGCAAGGGGCGGCATAAAAATGTAATAGTAATAATAATAATAATAATAATAATAATAATAATAACAACAACAACAACAACAACAACAACAATAACAATAACAATAATAATAATCCCTTTTGGAACATTGAGGAGCTGTTTCCAGTCAGTGCTGATAATACTGAATGATGCAACTCATTAGTAACTGACTTGGTCACTCAGTTCACTTGTAAAGCCTGACTTTAAGATACCAGTAAAATAGCATGTGTCTCTCAGTGCTAGTTTGTGTCCGAAGACCAGACTTCATTAATTCAATGTATATAGGGCTCTTGCTTTAAATGTGGACAGTACATGATGCTTTAGGAAAAACACCTGTCTCTTAGTTCCTTTTTTCATATTAGTTCCTCTTCTCATATGTTTATTTCTTATTTCTGCTTGACTTTACAGACAAATGCAGGCAATGAACCAGATGCAGAAGATGAACAAGTTTGTTGTGAAGCACTTGAAGCAATGACCCTTTGTTTTGCTTTGATTCCAACAGCATTGGATGCACTTAGTAAAGAAAAAGCATGGCAGACATTTATCATTGACTTGCTGTTGCATTGTCACAGCAAGTAAGTGGTTTTATTTCTTCTTTTTAAAAGATTTTAGCATGCATTACTCTTTAAGCTCTTTCTTCCTGTATTTCATTTGATATTCTTTGTGAGCCTGAAGAAAGGAAGGAACTGGAGGGCCCCCTGGACTAAACTTTGTTACTATGTTTGTGGTGCGCCACACATTCAGGATGGAAGCTCTCCAGAACCATACAAAAGATTTTCCACAGCAACAAATTCTTGACTTTAGTAGACCTCACAGAGGCTGATCCTCATGTGCCTATAGCCCCCACGCACAAGAGATACTTTAGGGTTGCATTTAAACATTGTAATTTCCAGTGCTAAACCCTCTTTTTTGATCTAACATTAGCACCGAGTGTATTCATGAAGCTGGTGGTGCCAGTAGGTTGCCTTCAAGGAATACATATTTACCCCTATTGATGATATTTTATTCAGGGCTCTGTCCCATTTTAAAATGAGGAAAGGGCTCTCTACCTCCCTTTCCTCCCTGGATAACCATGGCTTCCAGATAAATACTAGACTGAGTCACCTTTGATCATTCAAAATGATCATCTGTATAGAAGCAGAAGATAACAGTGAAAAAAGAGCTTGATTTCTCTGGCCCCAGAACAGATCAAAAAGCTCCTGTATGAAATCAAATACATACGCAGGCAACAGTTACATGATCTTACAACCGTAGCCCACTGAGTTGGATTATGGTTTCCTGCAAAAACATCCTTCCATGTGTTCATCTTTATGTTTGCTACAATCACTGTTCTTTCTCTGCGAACAGGATATAAACCAGAAATGTCATCTTCCAGTTTTCCTGCCTGCAGATATAAGATTCCTTCCTCTGGTGGGGGCAAAAAAAAAAAAAAAAAAAAAAAAAAAAGATTAGTCGTAAAAATTCCCTTCCAGGATTTCATCAAAATTTTACTTAATAGATGCCAGTTTTTCACATTACCAGACTCAGAGGGTATAGGGGACTTGGTCCCTAGGGGAGTTTCAGGGTCCCCATATTATCAGCTATGGTTTGTTTCCCCCTGCTAGATTTTCCCCAGATCCTTGCCAGTTACACAGCCTCCAGCCATTTTGTGACAGCCATTTTGCAAATGTGTCCACATCATCTAAAAAGGTTGGGGACTCCTGAAATAAATATTTAGAAATGGTGCATGTAAATTCTTTTCCTACAGTTTGGTTCTTCCTGCAAATAGGAACCAGTGAGCAACAGTAACTAAAACTAAGGTTTTGCTTGATGTAAAGTAGCTTCTGTAATTTTAAGATTCATACATGATAGAATGCTCAAACCTCTGGGTAGAGCAGCATAAAACCTTTATATGCAATTTATTTTGGATTTATTTTGCTCACAAACTGTTAATAGAAATATCTCTGATTAACATTTTCAGAACTGTTCGTCAGATGGCACAGGAGCAGTTCTTCTTAATGGCTACCAGATGTTGTATGGGACAGAGACCTCTTCTTTTCTTTATTACACTGTTGTTTACTGTATTAGGGGTAAGACATTTAAAATGTACCTATTTATGCTAACACTAATGTGTATGAAATTCCTGATACAGATACTTTATTTCATTTGCCAGTGAAATACTTCTAGATTTTGTTTCCAAGAATTCAGTGCAATTAACAAATATATGTTATGTATAAGTTAAGGTATGGTTAATTTTCTTTGTGTTAAATATTTTGAAGTTTTTTCCTGCTGTGAGCCACACTTGACATGTTGCACCTACAGATGGATAGCACTTCCATGCTAGAAATGGCACAGAATATACATTTAGGGCACAGTCCTGTCAGTGTCCATAACCTCCCAAACTCAGGAGCTTTGCAAAGTAGGAGCACATCCTCTTGCCCTTCATTTTCTGCTAGATGGGCATTTTAAAAAAGATATATGCCTCCATTTTGATTTGAAATAGAGCTGCTAATTTCTTCAAGTCTCCCACTACTAAATATGAAAGGTTTTTGGATTGTTAAAAATAATTGTGTTGTGACTATTAATGCAAATACCCTTTCAAAATTACTCATAGTCTCTTTCTGTTTCAGAGCACTGCACGAGAACGTGCAAAGCATTCAGGGGATTACTTCACTTTATTAAGACATCTTCTTAATTATGCATATAACAGTAATATTAATGTGCCCAATGCTGAAGTTCTGCTTAATAATGAAATTGACTGGCTTAAAAGGATTCGGGTAAGTTTTTATTTTAACTTTGCTGATTGGGGTGTTTTAAAAATATATATTTACTGCTGGGGTCATCCAATTTGTAGGATGTGATGGCAGTAAAATATTTTTAATAAAATATATTAACATTTACTAATAAGATCAGGTGTTTTATTTGAAATTAATTCCAAGGACTGATGTGACTTTATGTTCTTCTTTGTTAGGATGAAGTGAAAAGAACTGGAGAAACAGGTGTAGAAGAGACTATCTTAGAAGGTCACCTTGGTGTAACAAAGGAATTATTGGCATTTCAAACTCCAGAAAAAAAATACCATATTGGCTGTGAAAAGGGAGGTGCTAATCTTATTAAGGTAAGTAATTGCTATGTAGAAATTCTGAAATCATTATGAAGTCATTAGCAAGGTGACGACAATCTGTTCTTTGCTTCTGAAAGATAGTGACAGGTCACTTCCTCCCCCTGGAATCGCTTTATCTGAGCAGCTGCAATCATTGCTGTCTTATTTAGATGTGAGCAGCAAGTGTGATGACAGCAGCTGCTTCAATGAAGGGATAAAAAGTGAACAGTTGGGTGTCCGTCATGGCATATCTGGCCTAAAACTTTTCATGGAAGGCACTTTCACTGATGGTGTGCCAAGCTGAGCCTTCAAGTTCTTTTCTTTCCTGCTCCACCTCAGTGTTTACTCCTGCCCTGAAAGGCAACTAAGAAATATTTTAAAAGGATAATATATAAAGTCATGCATTATACATTGAGTGTCAGTGATTTGGGGTTTTTCCTTGGAGTTAGTTCTTTTTCCTTCATGCTCTAAAATGCTTAAGACATTAATAACTGGATTTTTTTTCTTCTTTGCTTTTCAGGAACTAATAGATGATTTCATCTTTCCAGCTTCTAATGTTTACTTACAGTACATGAGGAATGGAGAATTGCCGGCTGAGCAGGCCATACCAGTCTGTAGTTCCCCTGCTACCATTAACGCTGGATTTGAGCTGCTAGTAGCACTGGCAGTGGGTTGTGTTCGAAACCTCAAGCAAATAGTAGATACTTTGACTGAAATGTATTATATAGGTACCGCGATAACAAGTATGTACTATTTCATAGATTTTATTTTCTATGTAATATGATGTATGCAAATACAGGTTATGCTACAGATATATTAATGGCAATTGAAGAATGTTTATGTTATAAAAACTTATTTGGAAAGAAAAAATGGAAGTGTTATTTGCTAGTTCCACTTTAGATGCAGTAACTATAATTGGTAGGTGGACTGCATAAAGAACAACTCTGATTGGAATTTCTTCCTGCCTATCCAAGTTTTTCTTGTATAGGTTATTGTTAGAATGTTCTAATCTCAGTTCCTTGCTCTATATCAGAGACTTGTCCAGAGGCTCTCAGTCTGAAATGGTTCTGTTGGGACATATTACTACGCTAGAAACTCTCAAACTGCAATGCTCCCGTGGCTGTGAGGAAACTCCAAGCACAGCCTTTTGGATGCTGCCCCTTGTCACTTACAGCCTCAAAAAAGTTAACTGAATTACAAATCTAATAAGAATGCAAGTGATCTTCAAATAAGTGTAATGGTTTAAAGGGATAACTTCCTATTTGACTTTCATTAGCTTGTCATTGTGGGCATTCTTTGACTGTATGCAAATATGAAATCTTTGTTTCATCATTAAGGACTAAAATAATAAGTATACATGCAAATGAATTCTAATTTCATTTGGCAAAGGTTGAAATATACTGCTTCAGTATTAAGCAGCTGTTCAGAAGTTAATTTTATAATTTATTTAATCTCTTCTAGCTTGTGAAGCACTAACTGAGTGGGAATATCTGCCACCTGTTGGACCACGACCCCCAAAAGGATTTGTAGGACTGAAAAATGCTGGTGCTACTTGTTACATGAATTCTGTCATTCAACAACTATATATGATACCTGCCATCAGGAATGGAATTCTTGCCATAGAGGGCACAGGCAGTGATGTAGATGATGATATGTCTGGAGATGAGAAGCAAGACAATGAGGTAGCATTAATTTTTCTTGCCACTAATAATTTTAGTGTCTTAGGCATACATTTTCCATTTCAGTATTTTCCATAATTCTATATATCCAATTACAACAAGGTGTATGTAGCGGTATGTGTTTGACCAAACAACAAATAGCAGGATAAGATGTGAGATTCTGAAAGTCCTAAGACATACCTCCAGTGGTATTATTTTGCTGACAGGACCACTTACACCAGTGAACCTGAGAAGAGGTGATTCCTCCTCCTCCTCCTCTCTTCAGCCTCTGTGCACTTTCAAAAGCTGTTCTAGAAGGCCGAAACATCCACTGAAGCTGCTTTTTGGGCAGCATAGAGGTTGCAGTGGGGAGAAAAGAAGACTCTGTTAGTAGATGTCTGTTAGCACAGTCAGATTTATCCCTATGCTTTTATGTTAGTTTTTAGCAATACAATTTTTTTTAAAACAGGGTATCACTTTTTGTTAAGTTAAACAACCAAAACTTTGTGTTCTCATGTTCATAAATGGTATCAGTGTGTGTACCTGCTTTAAAGTTCCTGATTGTTTCTTTCTCTGAATATTGTCTATATGTTCTTTGTAATATATTACTCAATTTTATTTAGGCATAAGCTTTTTATTGGCAAATTTTGAACAATAGTTAAAGCCTTCTGAACTTTTTCTCATCAAGCAACTGCTTGCCTTAGTTGAACACCCAGAACATTTAACTCTAGAATATTAGCATTCAGCTCACTTCATATGTAAAACTAATCTGAGAATAAAGAGAAAAGAGGAATTTGAGAGTGAGAAGAAATGTGATCCCAGCCGCAGCTTGGGAAACATTTGCTCAACTCAAACTACAATATGCTAATGAGAGACTGAAGAGTGCCTGAGGGGAGGAGATAAGCTTTCACTTTTAGTATGTGGCAAATCATAGTTTGCTTTCAAGTAAGGAACTAAAACTGCTGTTTGATCCTGGATTGGGAATAAAGATTTTATGAAATAATATTTTATGTGAAAATTAGCTGCTCATTCCAAACTAGATTTGGAAGCATCTAATTTAACCACATGAATGAAGGAAAAAGGAAGTGCAAGTGCCAATGTGTGTAATTCTGAGGCTTATTTCTTCCCTCTTGTGATAGGACACTAAGATTTGTAATAGAGTAACATAAGTCAAGTCACTGGATAATTCTCATAATAAGCCAGGGCTCAAAAGAATGTTATGAACTATTGAGTGTACTGGTTCTTGCTGCTCAATCATTGTGCTTGGTTCTTCCTACCTGTGGGTCTGACTGTAGGAAACCTACATTTGTAGCTTGTTTAGCATTTTGTTCAAAGCCTTGGGCTCATTGCTGTCCCGTTTGTTTGTTTGTTTGATACATGCTTTATATATTAAATAATATAAATGTATGAAGAAAAATTGCTCATGCTAGAGTCATAAGCCAAGAATAAACACTGACTAATAGCTGAGCACTCATAGAGCAGCAGATCAAAGAACTAGTTGGGATGAATGGTTAAATAAGCAATGAATGGGTAACCCTGTGCAAATTACTTAAATTATAGCGGTAGAAAGGTAACTTCAGTAAAATGGTGGTTAACTAAATTGGAATTAAAACAGTTCTATCCTTTCAGTAGATTTTGGATTAATTAGGGTCCAGTATGAAGGAGGGCACATACAAATTTGGTTTGCACAACTTAACCTGGTGGTTGTGAGTTATTTAACCCATGATGAGCTGTGGTGCATGCTGGACATGTTAGGCTGGACATGTTTAAGTATGCAGCCCCTAATTGGAGCTTGTAGTGGGTTGTGGAAATCCAGCTATCATGGGTTACTTGAAAGTTAAACTCTCACACGACCTTCAGTTAAGTTCTATGAGTTTTATTTAAACCATGAAAATCATTCAAGGGCAGGTCCACACAACATGCCTTGATCTCCAACTGTCCCATTAAAGGGTTGCATATATAAAGTAGTGACTGCACACACTTGTAATCTGACTTCCTGGAGCTGAAGCAAAAGTTTGAGTAAAACCTTTTTACAGTATAATTCCAGTAATTGAAAATAAGCCTTTGTGCTCTCTGTAAAAATATACAGTTAACAGATTGACAAGAATCCTTGACAAGAATCAGTTCATGAGTGTTTCAGCAAAAGACCCAGCCATCCCTGGGTTCTACACACAGAATAAATCAAATATTTTCACAGTTCCAGTGAAAGCAGGAAGTTACCAAGTTACCAGTGCTTTGCTTCCTGCAAAGTTTACTGCTGGTTGCTCTGGCTGAAATACAAGAGAATGGTGATTAAAGATCACTAATGGACATCAAATGATCCAGATAGAGAAACCTGGCTCCCAAGAATTTGTACTGTTTCACCAGATGCCTCTGTCCAACCCTCTTAAGTGGATGATGCGCTAAAGGAGATACTTTCTAAACACCTTCTTCTGCAGAGCCCTCCTGCTGCTGCTCTGCTTCCATAAAATAAGTTTTTGGTTAAGAAACAGGGTCCTCTGTCAAGATCAGGTTCCCAGCTGTGGAAAACAATCCATCTCAGCATCTTGCATCTCCACCCCACTCGGCTTTACCAGTGGGGTTGACCCAGAATTTGTATCACAAGCTAGCCCAAAGTATCTGTTCATGTTTGCTTGCTTCTTGTTTTGCTTCATTCTTTATGTATATAATCTCTCTTACATTGATTTTTTTCCCAAAAAAATACTTTAAAGAGCAATGTTGACCCACGAGATGAAGTATTTGGCTATCCACATCAGTATGAAGATAAGCCAACTTTAAGTAAAACAGAAGACAGGAAGGAATACAACATAGGTGTATTAAGACATCTTCAAGTCATCTTTGGTCACTTAGCAGCGTCTAGGTTACAGTACTATGTACCAAGAGGATTTTGGAAGCAGTTCAGGTAAGTGGGAAGTTAACATAAGATGAATTGTATTTATGTGAAATCTGCTAAACTAAAAGGGTTTATTTATAGTTATTTTTTATGATCTCTGTGCATCATACATATGGGCTCTGCATGCATGCAAGTAGCCTGTTTGGGAAGATTCCAAAGCTAATTATTTATTATTCAGAGGGAGCCCCTCCCCTGGGCACACCCTGGTGTGAGGGAGGGGCTCCCACCTGATCCTCAGTTCTTTGACCACTATTGTGCGTGAATTGGGAAGTCCCTCCTCTGCTCCTTGTAGCTATATGTTTACCTTCCTTCCATGAGTCCTTTCCTCTTCCACAATGATAGTCTCATGTCTTCAGAACTGAGGATCAGGCAGGAGCCTCTCCCTCATGCCCAAGGGAGAACTTCTGCTGAATAGTAATTGATTAGCTTTGGAATCTTCCCAAACAGGCTCCTCGCATGCACGCAGAGCCCATATGTGTGAATGCACAGATGACCACTCCAAGAATGACAGTTACAGGTAAGCAACCTGCCTTTTTAACTGAGAAAGCAAGATAAAATGACCCAAGGAGCAAAACATGTAACACTGTTTAGATGAAGATATTCAGGTAATTCAGACAGAACACTGTAGGATATGCGTATGGCAGGATGAAGGAACAAGCCTTGGGATCATGTAACCTCACTTACAGTGAAGAGAAAGCTTAATGTGTGAAATGCAGTTCATGCTTGTAAGTTCCTGTGTAAAAGTGCCTACCCACGTAAACAGACTACCCCCCCCCCCCCCCACACACACAGACTAGGGCTCAGGAGTAAGATGTAAGTTCTGAGGCCCAAGTAGATAATAATGGCTCTGTATAACAGGAACGAATGGGCATAATTGTCAGATCTACTTTGTTATTGCCAAAAATCCCAAGATCTGTCAACCAGATCCAGATAAAAAAGGCATACACTTAGAATTAAACAACATGGTGTCTGATATGTCCCAAGCCTGGATATTTGTTTTCATTACAAAACTGAACCAAGCAAAGTTCTTATGCACAAACATTCACTTCTGGAAAACTTTATCATGCTATTTTAAAACAATTGTTGCTTGAGGATATACTGAAGTCATGGAGAAATATGTCAGCAGATACTGTAACTTCTGCCTGTTTTGCTGTATAAGGTAGGAGAAGGCGCGGGACCCTAAGGTGTATAGCCTTTCATATGTGAAATAGAATTGGTTGTTTTTTCTGTTGCTTGGAGATGCATTTCAGGTGAGCCCAAAAGTGTGAAAGGGTATAAAATTATTTGAGCACATTTCAGGAGGAAGGGGGCTTACAACGGCCACAGAAGCTTCCCTTTCTTCCCTTTCTTTCTCTCTTTTTCTTCTCTGCTTTTAAACCCTTAAAAGCTGGCAGCTATAGTAGCTCAACAGTGAGACATTTTCTGTACCATTCTTTGGTCTTGAAGCACTTCTGGAGAGAATACTAGCAGTCTTTGAAGTGGACACGCTAGTGTTTTTTTATTGGGCAGCAAAGGCGTAATGGATGGTAGTGTGCACAAAAGTGCTCCCGTTGCTGCTGGTGCACTTCTGAAGCAATGGCTCTTGAGAGGATAAGGGGAGGGAGAAACTGTTAGAAGCCCCACCCTCTCCCACCACAAACTGCTCATTCCTTCTCCTCCAGAACCATTTTGGAGTCTAATCATGGTCCCAAATGACCTCCACCATTTTGTCACCTAGGAATGAGGTCACAGATTGTTGGGGATGGATGTGTCAATCTACTGCTTAGTGATTTATACTATTGGGTCATATATTTTATTTGTCTTTTTATTTAATTGCTACCTAATTATAAGATACACTTGTACTTACAGAAAAAGAAATTATGTAAACGTGATGTAAAACTCCTTGATTTTCCCTCTTTTTGTCTTATACTGAGTGAATCTTTTTCATTCTAGACTCTGGGGTGAACCTGTAAATCTGCGTGAACAGCATGATGCTTTAGAATTTTTTAATTCTTTGGTGGACAGTCTAGATGAAGCTTTAAAAGCCTTGGGTCACCCAGCAATGCTAAGTAAAGTTTTGGGTGGATCCTTTGCTGATCAGAAGATCTGTCAGGGTTGCCCACATAGGTAAGTGTTTCATTTAATAGGAAGATAGGTATATCTTTCTCATTTCAGAAAATCAAAGCCTGCTATTGTGATGATTGTCATCTAATGAAAATCCTGTCTTTGGAAGCGTACTGAAACTATTATGGGGTGGTCCCAAAAATATAAATATTCATAGCCATCATTTCAGATTTACCCATGAACACATGAGGAAAGTTAGCATAAGCCAGATTATAAAAATTAAATTGAAGCTATTTCCATCATTGTGATGGCTCAGAAAGGTACAACTGCAGCTGGTGAAGTAATACTATTTACTATATTTATATTTGAGTGTTGCCACAGAGAAAGTCCTCTTCCTCATTCCCACTAGCTGCACCTTGGGGCAGTGATAGAGTCAGCTGAAAGGTCCTTTAGGTTCTAGAGGGAATGGGCAGGAACTTGTAGCAGAGATGCTCCCAATGTGTAGAAACATAGAAACAAAGCTAGTCAGAAGGGGCCTCCTGAGCCATTTAGTCTCACCCCCAGCTCCAGCCGGCTCTGCTCATGTAATCCCCAACATGTGGCTGACCAATTGTTGTGCCCTAAAGCATTTAATACTTTAAAACTTGTAAGCAGCACTTTTTAATGCACCCAGCTAGTGAAGCTGATACAGGAGCACAGCGACATGCATCCTAAATCTTGTTTGATCAGCAGCCTTCAGCACCAACTGAAGTTTCTGAGTTCTCTTCAAGATCAACCCCATGTAGAGTGTGTTAACAATAGTCCAGCCTTAATACAATTAAGGCATGTATAACTTTGGCCAGATCTTGCTTTTGTGAGCTATCTCTCTGTGTGCATCCTGGTTCACACTGCTGTTTCCAGACAAGCAATAAGTAATTGTACGGATGAGTGGAGGTAAAGGGTGTTGCTGCTGACAATTAAGGGAAATCTCTTTTTTGAGCCAACTTAGATCAGTACTGAAGCTGCAACTTCCCCTTCCTTTTTGACAAGTTGGACCTACAATAAATGTGGCAGTGTGAAGTGTTGCTTGTCCATGCTTTCTTCTTGGACATGCTGTTTCAGTCTTCCTGCAACTGTCTCTTCGCCATATCCATATGGGGCCAGTAAGCATGGTCATTGTGGTCAGTGAACATACTTAGTGCTCATTGTATAGCTTTGGGATTCCTCCCTCCCTTGTGTATTGAATTTTTAAAAAATTGTACTTCTGCAAACGGGGGGGTGGGGGTTCTTCCAGACCTGCTGATGGTTGTGTGTCTGAATTCATCAAATGCTTGTTTACTTGTGCTCACTTAATTGGCACAGAAATCTTAGTATTTGGGGTGTGAATCCTTAATAAGGCTGCTGACAGCTGGGACTGTGTATGAGGAGCATTAAGTACTAAGACACTGTAAATGTTGCAGGTGGTGCTAAACTGCTTGTATGAAGCACGGAGAATCTCCTTTACTGTGGAGAGAAGCACTGATAGTTGAGAAAAAATGATTGGAAATGAGAGTACAGTGGTACCTTGGCTCACAAAGGCCTCAGTTCATGACCAAATCGGGTGGGGAACTGAAATTTCATAAAAATTTTGCCACAGGTCACGAACTCTGCATTGGGTGACGATCGCGAGCCACCTGCCTTCCCTGCACTGGCGCAATTGTGGTCATGCTGGGGGGGGGGAGAGATGGCTGCAATTGCGCCAGTGTTCCCTGCCCGAGTGTGCCCGCGCCCCCCTCCCCTCCGCGCACCTTCCTCCCCCCCAACATGCCCACAATCGCGCCCATCTTCCCCACCCCCCTGCATGATCTCTGGGGTGCGGGAGATGGCCGCGATCTTTGTTGTTCTTTATCACTTTGCTTCAAAGTTTTCTGAGTAAAAAAATAGTTGCAGAACGGATTAACCTTATTTACATTGACCTTTATGGGGAAATTTGACTTGGGTCATGACCAATTTGGGTCACGACCAGAGTCCTGGAATGGATTAAGTTCGTGAGCCAAGGTACCACTGTACTATATTAATAACAAGGTATTAATAGAATCCATGATTAATGACTCACTGTTGCTTCATTATAAGACTATTTTATTTAAAATGGTAAAATTACTAGTTCAGCATACTTAACCTATTCTGCCAACAACTGTAGGTACGAATGTGAAGAATCTTTTACAACACTGAATGTAGATATAAGAAATCACCAAAACCTGCTTGACTCCTTGGAACAGTATGTCAAAGGAGACTTACTGGAAGGTGCAAATGCATATCATTGTGAAAAATGCAATAAGAAGGTAACTGAAATACAGCATGCTTTTTTTAGATCCTTTGAAAATTCTTACAAATGCAGCAGTAGGTGACTTAGGAAGACCTAATATTTTGTATAGTGCCATTCTGCAGAAGAAATTGAGAAGTACTGTTTCTTATAATTATTAGCTATAGTTCAGGAAAGATTCATTAGAATAATTCCAGACTAGTCTGTTAATCTTCTTTATGATATTTTACCTGAATCATGGTGATACATATTGACCGTCACTTGCTGTATTGTAGCATTTTGAGAAAGAAAGAAAAGGTTATTCTTACTTAGTGTTTGTAGTTGATACTGGTATTTCACAAAAATGGGTTGCATTAACCTGCAAATCTTTATTTCTTAGGTTGACACAGTGAAGCGCTTGTTAATTAAAAAATTGCCACCAGTTCTAGCCATCCAGTTAAAACGATTTGACTATGACTGGGAAAGGGAATGTGCAATCAAGTTCAATGATTATTTTGAGTTTCCACGAGAGTTGGACATGGAACCTTATACTGTGGCAGGAGTAGCAAAACTAGAAGGCGATGATGTAAATCCTGAAAATCAACTAATACAGAATGAACAATCTGAAAATGAGCATTCTGGAAGTACTAAATACAGACTAGTAGGCGTGTTGGTGCATAGTGGCCAGGCCAGCGGTGGTCATTATTATTCTTACATTATTCAGAGAAATGGTGGAGATGGTGAGAAAAATAGATGGTATAAATTTGATGATGGTGATGTAACAGAATGCAAAATGGATGATGATGAAGAAATGAAAAACCAGTGTTTTGGTGGAGAGTACATGGGAGAAGTTTTTGATCATATGATGAAGCGCATGTCCTACAGACGCCAGAAGAGATGGTGGAATGCTTATATTCTTTTTTATGAACGTATGGATACAGTAGAAAAAGACAATGAACTAATAAAATACATTTCTGAACTTACAATGACCACTAAACCCCATCAGATTAAAATGCCATCTGCCATTGAGAGAAGTGTACGGAAACAAAATGTACAATTCATGCATAACAGAATGCAGTACAGCCTAGAATATTTCCAGTTTGTAAAGAAATTGCTGACTTGTAACAGTGTCTATCTAAATCCTCCTCCAGGTTAGTGTTTTGGATATTTATAATAAGAATTAACTGACATGTTTGTGAAAGGACATGACTTTTAGCATTCTTCCTATCTGTGTTTTATTTTGAACATTATAAGTGTACTTTGGTAATACTGATTTTCCTTTAGATTAATTCTAAAATTCCAAGTAAGTTATGTTTTGATATATGAAATCAGTTTGCAGTTTCCTTGATATCAGCACAATAGATGTCTAAGTTGGTTTTTGCCTATAATTCTACATTTTGCTAAAACAGTTTGTCTTTGATAAATACAAAAAGGAGATAAAGCTATGGATATATAGATACAAAATGAAACTGAAATGCTATGGTCCCAGTGTAAATTGAAATATATTACAAATTTATAAAGATGAACTCAAGTTGACAGCCAGAATTGCTTAAAAGAGAAAGAAGCACCTAAGTCCTTTCATATAGCTTGATGAAAGAATATAAATTTACATAAGAATCAGGTTGATAATGTCAGATTTCAGTACTGATAAACACTGCAAAACAAGAAAACATATTTTGTTGTATCGTTTCTAAACAAATTTCATAGCATATTCTGTTTTTCTATAGGACAAGATCATCTGTTGCCTGAAGCAGAAGAAATAACGATGATTAGTGTTCAGCTTGCTGCTAGGTTTCTCTTTACCACAGGATTCCACACAAAGAAAATAGTCCGTGGTCCTGCCAGTGATTGGTATATTTGGCTTTAAGAATAATTCTCCAGTCATAAGTTTAATGTTTCTAGTGGTCTCTTCATTTGATATAATTTAATTTTGAAAAATTGGACAATCAGTGCAGTAAAATTGATCCATAAACAAAATACACTCTTAAGTGTATGAACATGTTAACATAATTAATATAATTAATCCTGCTGATTTTACCATAATTGAGATCAGCAGGAGGCTGTGAGAAGGGGTGGGCAACCTGGTGCACCCCATACTTGAGTAGGATTTTGGTGGGGTAAACAAGGTATGTTTGTTCTTTGCTTCAGGTTGTGTGGATGCTTAAAAGCATCCTTTTTCATCTGAACAGCTATGTTCTGCAGTGCATATTACAAGCTTTAAATGCTGTGCACGTTGGTCATGAGGTTGTATTTTGACTTCAGCACAACCCATCCTATTTTGGGTGTTGATCTTAAAACAGACTGAATGATAACTATAGTGAGTGCTGCCCACAGTGACATTCTGTGCACATGCTGTGTTTAAGGCCCAAGGGGCAGAAAATGAAGAGGAAACTCGGAGAAGAATTCTTGGGTGGTTTGGGGAAGAAATCCAGCAACCTGTTCACAGACCTTTAATCATGGTTAAATAACTGTAAGACTTAAAATGTTGTAACCTTAATGTTATGTACCTGTGAATTTTGATCTCGTATAGACTTTATAATGTGCTTGAACAGCATTTTTGTATGTTCTTATTATGGACAAGCAGTGTTCTAACTGAAATACATTGCTGTTACTTTTGGAAATGTAAGTAAATTTAATCTTTTTTTCCAGGTATGATGCTTTGTGTATTCTTCTTCGTCACAGCAAGAATGTACGTTTTTGGTTTGCACACAATGTCCTTTTCAATGTTTCAAATCGCTTCTCTGAGTACCTTTTGGAATGCCCTAGTGCTGAAGTGAGGGGAGCTTTTGCAAAACTTATAGTATTTATTGCCCATTTTTCATTACAAGATGGACCATGTCCTTCACCTTTTGCTTCACCTGGACCTTCTAGTCAGGTATGCTGAGTCCTGTATGCAGAATATAATAGAAAGACCATTCTAGATTTAGAGACCATTCTAAATCATGGTATAACAATGATTCAAGTTTTGACATAAGGTCATTTGAATAAGCCTTAAACAAAATGTTGAGGGGATTTATGTTGGTCTGTGTGCTGTAACTGATCTCATATCACAGTGATTTAGCCTGTATAGTGAGAGCTCTTATTAATGCTTGACACATTATACCCTCCTACATCTGGGTGGGCAGAAGTCAGGTTTGCTGAATTTACTTTGATTTACTGAAACACTGAAGTCCTCCAACCTGTACCAGGTGCAAAAGGCATTAGTAGATTTAAAGAATTCTGAACAATAACCAAATGTTAATAAACTGCGAGTTGAAAATCCCTGCCAATATACAGAAGATCTTTCAGAGATTTATGATCATGGTCTGTCTATCTTGCCTTACATTGCCTATCTTGCCTTACATTGCATGCATAAAAATTGAAGAGTTTAACCACAGCAACTTGACATAGCAGGAATTGGATGTTACTAATATTTGATGTTACTAGACGTGAATGTCTTTCAGTACATTCTAATTAAAGGTATGTCATGCATCTAGTTGCTTCCTGAAAAGGGCTTAATGAAGAAATGTCTCTTTTGGTCCAATATGTGTTGAGTCTGTAAAAACTTTTAACAGAAACATGCCATTTTTGTTTTGTAGGTCTATGACAATTTAAGCTTGAGTGACCACTTGCTGAGAGCTGTACTGAATCTTCTTAGGAGGGAAGTGTCTGAGCATGGGCGTCATTTGCAGCAATATTTCAACTTGTTTGTGATGTATGCCAACTTAGGTAATGCACTGTCTACTTCATCCCAGAGGTTTTGCCGATCACATTAATTGTTCACCCATAGCACTAATTATTTGCTTATATTCTTGCTATCTAAACTTGCCTATTTTTGACATCATATAATTTCATCTGAAACTTCATGCCAGATTTTCTGTGTAGCCCATTAGATCTTTCATGATGCTGCACAAATTATTACTAATGACTTAAAACATTGGTTTTTTAGCTATGATCTGAGATTCCTTGGGTTCTTCACTGAAAAGAAGTGGTGGCAAGATTCCTTGAAAGATGCCACTATAGGACTCTTCCCCTAAATTCACAGCTGGAAGAGAAAGCATGTTGGATATTGTTTTAGAGCATATTCTTAGTTTTATATGTGAGCAGCAGCTAATATGAACTGAATGTGCACTCTAGCATGTTGCTTAACTTCAGGGTCGTCTTTAATATTCATGGATTACTTAGAAGACAGTCTGATAATAAATGGTTTCTTTTGGTGGTCTCTGTGCATATGGATTATGCATCTCCATGGAGCCCCATTCAGGAACCTTCTGTAACTGAGGATTATCTGGTGAGAAACTACTGCTACAGTTACATCCTAGATGTATTCTCACTTATTCTCTCAGTTTTCTTTGACCAATAACTGGTAGTAGCTGAGATGATGATGGCAACTTCTGGTACAATTGCATGCATTAATTGTATTTTCTAAACTTAGTCTTGCTAGTATGTGGAACTGAGCCAAAAAAGTATTAATTTTAAAAATCTTTTATTTAACATTTGTATGTCTTCACATAGCTGTTAAGCTTTTATAAGTATTAAGGATTTGAACACAAAGCAGGTGAACAGCTGACTTCTGTAGTATTTACCTAGTTGTTTGCCAAAATGATTTCTTTCATCAAACATGACTATTTTGACAAGAAAATAGAATCACGAATATTTAGTTCAGCAGTTCTAAATAATTTATTAAAACTAGTAACTGGTAAGTTGACACTGACTTCATATAGAGCTAAATTTCATAAACATACATTTTCTTGGATCAGAAATATTTACTGTGCAGGCTAATGACTGACTGGATTGTTGAGGGTACAGAATATCATACTTGCATTCATACTAAATGTTCATTTATTAATTTCTCAAATGTGAGTGGATGTCTGAAATTTGATACGGTATGTGCATGAAATCATAGAAAATGTGACTGAATTCATTAGGTTAAAATATAGTTAAGTTAGTTGTGATTATTTTTCCTCTCTTACTACCTTCTTCTTTAGGTGTAGCAGAAAAAACACAACTTTTAAAATTAAATGTGCCTGCCACATTTATGCTTGTGGCACTGGATGAAGGTCCAGGTCCTCCAATCAAATACCAGTATGCTGAACTTGGCAAACTGTACACTGTGGTATCGCAGCTAATCCGCTGTTGCAATGTGTCATCGCGTATGCAGTCTTCTATCAATGGTACAGTTAAATACAAATTTTATAAATAGAATGTATTTGTAATGAAAATTGTGCTGTGGCTTGCTATTATTCATATAATTTCTTAACCTTTTATCTGTTATACTGAGCTGTGTTCTAGATTTGAAGAACTTCTCAGTGGTTTAAAATAACATTCCCATTCAGTGCAAAGAGATATCCATTATGAGTTAATACCTCCTGCCACACAGGTCAGGGAAGCAACCTATGACCAGGCTTTTTATCTTGGTCCTTGTCTCTGTGTCTTTTCCCAGTCAGTTTGTTCCTTACTTTCACCTAGGAACTTGTCTCGTACTTCTTTTCAACAATCTTTTATTCAGGCTATGTTTTTCTTTCAACACACACATTTTTGCTTTCCTTTCCTGACTCTCTTGTTCCTTCACCACAAGATGGCCCCATCTATCAAGAAGAGTTCCAAGCCTGGAAAAGAAAATGAGTGGTCAGTAAGGTAAATCATACACATACTTACCCATTGCTCACAGCCTTAGCCTAAAGGGCTGCTAGTTCCCGTCTCCTACAATGAGAAGTGTAGGCAAGGATCTTTGGCACCTAGAAAGGCCTCAGCAGTTATAGGAGGCTTTATAAATACATGTATAAATAAATAAATGGTCAAGACCAGTGTCCTACCAAAGCTGCCACTGAACTACTAATCACTCTGCAGTACAGCAAACTCAGCTGGATCAAAGCAGAGCCCTCATGGTATGATGATACAGGATCATGTGCCCTATTCCTGTCTTGAAAGAAGCCAACTGAAGTATCCTGAAAAGTCTGCAAAGGGTGTGTAAGCAATTTGAGACTGGGGGCAGGAGCTGGAGGAAGCCACACAACAATCTTCCATTTTTCTAGGAATGTGTGGCCTACAAACAGAGCTATTTTCAAGAGATGCTATAGGGTCACAGTAACCCCCTTCTAGTGACTCCTTCTACCTCCCCAGGGTAACTGGCTAAACATCACTACCAAGATCAGTTCTTATCCAAGGCCATACAATAGACCATTAAACTGGAATTGGCTCACCTCCCAAGAAGATGACAGAAGAAATGTAGAAAAAGGCCTTCTTTTAGTTCCTCCTCTTCTTTTGCTTCCCTCCAGCCAAACAAAAAACTGGAGAGGACAATTAAGTCTAAAACTTCCAGTATAACTAAGTTGCCAATCTATATGCTGAATCAGTTCCTGATTCTTCCATCCCTCATCTCATGACCAAGGCAAACATTTTAATTCAAAAGGGATCTCTCTAGAGCAGTTTTCTGAATCTTCATTCTCTTGTTTTCTTAGATGGAACTGTGTGAATATGATTAGATAAGGGAACAGTGGCAGAATTTTCTAGTATAAGATTATTTAGCTATATTTTCTTCCCATCCTACCTAAAGCTATGGCCTCCATAGACATTAATTCTTCTCAGGAACCAACCACGCAGCCTTCCAAAAGCAATTCATTGTTTTCAGAGTCCACATCAATTCCTTTTCCTTCATCCTTTGAGAAAATGGTTAAAGCTAGATGGAAGGTCTCTTGTTAAAGGGACTTCAGTGTAGCACCAAAACATTATTCCTTACTAGGATATCCCTTAAGGAACCTCATGAAAAACATACTGAAGCAGTGATGGAAAAAAAAAGCTCAACTACTGCTTTGACTCTTAGAGCTTTTTCTACAGCTTTCTTTTTCTTCTAAGCCACTCTCCTATTAACTACATTAAGAAGTTGGATAGTCTCTCCTTGCTTTGGACTTTTCTCAGTTAAACAAAACATCACCTTTCACATCAGGTGTCACACAGGATTCCATATTTGTAACATATTCCATTGCAGCAACCACCGTGCTAAGATGTTTGGTTTTATTGAAACACTGGAGTATTTACTTTTCTTTGCATATTCACTGCTTTTCTCTTATTTCCTTTTATAGCCTTCTTTAATACACTTTCATTTAGAAAACTGTGTTTTGACTGTGTTTCTATACCGTTCAAGGAACAGAATTCCATCCTTGCTGCCTTCTATACAGTTTTTAATTAGTATGTAAAAAGGCCAGATGGAGTTAGATGATTGACAGGCAAAAACTAGAAGCTTATCTGCCAGTCCTGTTTCTGAACTATACTCCATGAAGTAAGGAGGAGCCTCAGTCAGCTGTTTATTAGGCAGAAAAGGTGGCAGTACTAACAAGATGGAGGACATGCAATTTACCCCTTCTGGGTCACTGCTGGGGTTTTGATCCTCATTTCATCCATGCTTTTCATAACCATCCATAATGCTTTCTGTGTTGGTAGTTGTAACAGTATCAGATTAATATGTTTCTCTCAGGTATTGTCTAAATCACAGGTAAGCACCTATGGAAATCTAGCATGGAGCACCTAGCTGAGCATCTATACCAACTGGAGAGAAATCTTAATTATGTTAAATAGCTAAAGTACCATAAAACTTTCCGTGATGTAATTCTATACAATAACATTTTCAATGGATACATAATACCCTACAGATCTCTACAGCTCAGAACAAAATTAAAAGTACAAATGTTTTGTTTTAGGTAATCCTCCACTTAGCAATCCCTATGGAGATCCTAATTTATCACAACCAATAATGGTACTTCAGCAGAATGTGGCAGACATCTTGTTTGTGAGGACTAGTTATGTGAAAAAAATAATTGAAGATTGCAGTAATTCAGAAGAAACTATCAAACTACTTCGCTTCTGCTGCTGGGAGAATCCTCAGTTTTCATCTACAGTCCTCAGTGAACTGCTTTGGCAGGTAAAAAAATGGACAAAAGCTGTATTTTATTGAAGCACCTTACATGCAAAATGTCACTGGATCTATATTTTTCCCAAGTCATTTGAAGGGTTCATCATTTAATTTATTATAACTATGTATGCCCCCTTTGCAGCCATATTTTTCAAAGTGGTTGTTTACAATGTATTTAAAATATAATGCAAAACAAGGAATCAGTGTTGAAGTATATCAAGTCAGTCACTTAAACAGCCGCAAGAATCATTTAAACTTACAACCTTGAAAGAAAGTCATTTGCTTCCACTAGCATCTGATAAAATTGCTGGTGTGTACTCCTTTATTTGCTGGTATCCATATTCTCAGCTGAGTAGGCAAACCAGCCTATGTATGTTGCATCCAAAAACCTGTAGCACATAACTCTTGAAATTGCTATTTGGTTCTTCAGATTTTATCACATAAGCAAAATGTGGTTGCAAAACAACTTTATAGCTCATTATCAGGTATTGTATTTTCTGTTACATTATAATGAAGTAAACAGTTGGTGAGTTAACACGATTCTAAGCCATCCATGTGAATAAGCTATGCAGTGTCGGTTGTTTACTGCACCATCCATGGTATGCCTGACAGATGAACAGGCTTGCCATTGGTTGTTCTACTCCTTCTCCCTTAGTTGCCAACCAACACTGACACATATCTCAGAGGAGAAATTGTGGCAGAACCTGTCTTGCCTCCTCACCCTGGCCATCTCCCTGCTCTGATCCTTCTCATTCCCTGGTGTTTATTTGGTTTGTTCATTTTTGTGCTGGGGGGTGCAGGTGGTTGGGAAAGGTGCCTCAGAATATGCAATTGGGATTGTAATTATTTTGTTGTCAGTGCACTTTCATAGCTTGTATATGTGGTCTTGCCTGGTTGATTACTTTGTTTCAGTCGTCAAAGGGAACGCTGAAGTGGAGTAGACATCATACAGGGAAATGACCAAGGCAAGGCTGCACATCAGCTAATAAGAAAAGAGGGACCAATTAGCACAATTCCAAAGCAGGAAAAATGGAGGGGAAAGTGCACCAAGAAGTGGGGGAACAAATTCCCCCTTCGGCAATGTGATTTTCAGGCTTTTAAAATGTTGAACTGACAGTTGCCCATGTCTTCCATCTTTTCAGCACTTTTCCACTTATTCCAAAAGAGTTATTAACTTCTCTCCTTTTTGTGGTTCCTTTTATGGCTTGTTTTCATTGCATTTACTGTGGCAATTACTGCAGTTCCATGATAGTTCTGACCCCCCACCTCCCCATAAGTAGGCAGCTGTGTGAGTTGGAGTAAATGGGAACCCATGAGGGGACAGGTGTAAATTCTGTTGGTGTAGGTCCCTATTTGCTCCTTCCCATTTGGCCATCCTTGAAAGGTTTTTTTGTTTTGTTTTGTAAATTATTTGCATGATTCTTTTAAACTGTGGCATATACACAAATTTAATAGCTGGGAAGTAAATGTCAAGGAGATCTCTGTACCATCAGTAATGGCGCAATTAATGCAGCTGTGCAAATTTCCCATCTATTAATTTTCCAGCCCTTTGTGTATATTTACCAGTCATAAAAATTATGCAGATATTCTTGATGGGGTTTTTTAAACTCTTCAAAGAGGCAGAACAGGATGCCAGCACCAATGTGATTTACATCAACTTCCTTACTTGGGGCACCATTCAGCCACTTCCACAGATTTTTTTTAACTTTTAGGGAGCCACAGTGATTGCCCCAGCAATTAAGTGTTCTGAAAAGAAAGGGCAAAAGGGACAGGGAGGTAATATCTCCTTTCTGGAGTAGCTGCTGACCTCAGCAAGTTTTGAAAAGCTGGACACTGAGAATGTCATTAAAATTCAGATAATGACATTACTCAGTGGAAGATACTGTCCCTGATAGCTTCACCTGCTTCTTTGGCTGTTGTCCCCATTTTCAGTGCTTTGCCATGTGTTCCTTTTCTCCTTTAGCATTTTTTCCTCTCTGTGTTTGTCAACTATGTGCAAATTAGTTTATATACAGTGTCCTCTTGAATGTTTTCTAGTTTGCCTGAGTGCTCCTTTTGACAGCTGAAACATACAAGGAAAATGGTCCGGCTAGACTGTAGGTTTCAGACAGCTACAAAAGTGCTCTCCTGTGCATTTGGGAAAAACTATCATCAAAAGCAGCAATAATTAGGAACACATTTAAGACTGATTTTTTTTAAGAGCAGCAAACAATGTCACTCTAAACTGCCATTTAGGCATCAGTAGAGGGACAATCACTTGTAGCAGCACTGCGACATCATTCAGATCATGATAAAAACCATGGGTTTGATTCTGAGAGAGCTGTGACCAACAAACATTTTTTGGCACAACTGGATTTACACATTGTGATAACCCAACATTAAATAGACCATGCAGCAGGGTTATTTGCAAACCAGGTTGCAGTGTTGCCCCCATCCAGATATCTATTGCTTGATCCCCTTTCTAATATACATTTAAATTATCTGAAGTTGTTTATTAACACTTTCTTCGAATTCTGCCTTTTTAAGGTTGCATATTCTTATACATATGAACTTCGACCTTACTTGGATCTCCTCCTACAAATCTTGTTAATTGAGGACTCATGGCAAACTCACAGGTTAGTGTTTGGGATTCTTATGTTCAATACAATTTTCATAATACGGGACTTGTGTGGGAAAGCCCATCTAATATACACGGGTTCTTCCACACTCTTATTTATTAAGAATTTTAAAAAAAATTACATCACTTTTCTGCATAGTCATCTTCCATTGTGACTGGTGCTGTATGCATTTTGGCATTGGGTGAAGAAATTTTATTTGTTCAGGCATCTAAAACAGTTCATATGATTTTTAGCTGGTAGAATAGGTTTTTTAAATGGCTTTTCAGTTTTATTTATTGTTATGTCATTTATTGTTTTACTTTTAGCTCTAAATATACTTTTAGCTCTAAACTGAAGCTCAATCCAGACAAGACGGAGATCTTGTTGGTGGGTGGCTCGGGCCTCGGGATGGGGGACTTGGGCCTTGTCCTAAATGGGGTTGCACTCCCTCTGAGGGACAGGGTTCGCAGCTTGGGAGTGCTCCTCGACCCTGAGCTGTCACTAGAAGCTCAGGTGATGGCGGTGGCGAGGAGCGCCTTCCTTCAGCTTCGGCTGATCCATCAGCTGCGTCCCTTCCCGGAGAACGACTGCCTGGCGACAGTGACACACGCGTTGGTAACTTCCTGATTAGACTTCTGTAACACGCTCTACATGGGTATACCCTTGAAGACAGTCCAGATACTTCAATTGGTGCAGAATAGAGCTGCCAGGTTGCTGACGGGGACTGGGCGTTGTTCTCATATAACCCCAGTTCTCCGTCAGCTTCACTGGCTCCTGATTGAAGTCCGGACCCAATTCAAGGTGTTGGTTATGACCTATAAAGCCCTTAATGGCTTGGGACCTGGCTATCTAAAGGAACGCTTGCGTCCATATATGCCCTCCCGCCCCTTGAGATCGGCAACAGATGCCCTTCTCCGGGAACCCTCTGTGAATGATATTAGGAGGGTGAGTACCCAGAGGAGGGCCTTCTCTGCGGTGGCGCCCCACCTATGGAATGTGCTCCCCAGAGAGGTCTGCCTGGCGCTGTCGTTATTTGTTTTTCGGTGCCAGGCTAAGACCTTTTTATTTAAAACTTATTTTAATTGTTAACTTGTTATCTATTTATAGGTTTTACCAGATGTTACCGGGCTTTTTAATTTTTAATTGTTATTTATATGTTTTAATTACGTTGTGAGCCGCCCCAACGCTTTGTTGCGATGGGGGCAGCATAGAAATGTTTTAAATAAGATAAAATAAAAAAATAAAATATAGATGCACATAAAAATTATTGTGTAATACTGTAGAATCCATATTTTGGATGACAGGGTTTAATTTTTTATTAAAATGTTTTAAATATTCCATAAAATCTATATAAATGTTTGCATTGCTAAATTGCTCTATCATTCTGTATGAAAATATTGATTGAAATTATCACTCAGTTATAGGAGAATGGGGGAGTTCTCAGAAAAATGACAGTTGGGTAAGATAGTTGAGGAAAGTTGCTGCATGGGGGAATACCTTGATCTTGGCTAGCAATGAACTTTGCATATATATACAATAGTACATGGCAAACACAGTCTTAGAAAAGGCATTCCATTCTGTAGATTGGGAAAGGGGAATATCTTTAAGATGATGGCTTCCATATACAGGTGCTCTATAATGGCATAGCAGACAGCATCTTAAAAGAGAGGCTTTATCTGGCTTCATTTCAGTTTAGCTTAAGGTTTGGGTTTGCCCAGAAACTGCTTACTTGCCCTGATGTGTAAGGAGGAGGATGGGGAAGTATAAACATGCTAATTCTTCTGGACTTCTTGACAGCTTTCAGTGCCATGATTTCCTTCTGGAGAGAAGGGATTGGGACACCGCACTTTAAAGATTTAGCTCCAATTTGAGTGGCCATTTCTAGAGAGTGTTAGTGGGTTCTGTTCTATTAGTGAGCCCCAAGGCAGTTGTTACACTGCTGTGCCAATGGATTCTCTGCTCACATCCCTCTGTCTCCCCTCTCCCTAGCTTTTACTGTCTTAATGAAATTACTGAGCTCATCCTGGGATTTGAACTAAATTATCACTATATACACGATGTCCACTTGTATTTTTCCTTTGCATCAAATTCAAGTAGAGTTGTGGAGGTGTCAACACAGTGTCTGAATTTAGTAACAGACCATGTGAGGCTTTATTAATCTGTATCTTGGTGCAGAGAAAATGAAATTTATGTTGGTGGTTCTGTTGCTGCCTTGGGGGAGGAGCTTTCCCTCTTCCCTTAAGAATCAGGTATCTAACTTGTGGGGTATTCTTAATGCTTGTTCATTAAAAACCCAGGTGACTTGTGGCACATAGCTGGTCACTAGTTGTAAAGACCCTTTATAAACCCAGTGAGCCTTCCACAATTATCCATGCTCAGACCCAATCTAATTTGGCATGTGGTGTCTCCCGTCAGCAGAGAAAGAGGGAAAATGAGAAGAGAAGGTGCTGATGTTAGATGGTGTGTTTCCTCTCTTCCTTCTTGCCCCCTCTCCCCAGTACTGGTTCTCTATCCCTGTTTTAAAGGGTTGAGTGTGGATCTTTGCTTATGATGCCTTACTGCTGGATATGGGAGAATAACATTTTTGCTAATTCTTCTGTCTCCCTGCACCTCCTGAAAATTTGCTCTGAAGGATTGTGGGACAGCATGAGAGATGGCATACTGAGTTGTAGGCGTACAAGAAAAATAGGTGAAGATCACCTCTACTCTGTATCAGTCCCTTCAATGAACCAATGGATCGAATTATCAAAACGATTGAGCACCCAAATGATAGAGGAACAAGGAAGCCTTATTTCTGTTATGTTATATTATGTTTGGCTTGGAGGGGAAGCAGGGATTGCCCAACAAGATTCACTGATCAGAGGAAAGGCAGATCTTCCTGTTTAAGATGCTGTTCTTATCTTTTGGGTCTAGAAAATGGAATAGAGAAGTGTTAATTAAAAGAGAGTCTCCTTTAGCTAGAAGTCTCCAGCCTTTCGACAGACTGGAGACATCAAAGGCTTTTTGTTTTGTGGATCTGGACTCCTTTAGAAAGAAGTGTGGTGTTTTAAGTGGATTCTGGAGGTCAGCATCCTAGGCAAAGAAGTGTGTATCATTTGGGGGGGGGGGCTTTCAGTATTACAGCATTTATATGAGGATTTGTGACCTTTGTGAAATGTTGACCTTTTGGTATGTTCGGTTTCTTCTCAGGATTCACAATGCACTTAAAGGTATTCCAGATGACCGAGATGGGCTATTTGATACCATTCAGCGCTCTAAGAACCATTATCAAAAACGAGCTTACCAATGCATAAAGTGTATGGTAGCTCTCTTCAGCAACTGTCCAGTAGCGTACCAGATCTTACAGGTAAATTCAGTGTTTTCCTGATGTTAACAATTTTTCTGCTTCAATAATTGAGAATGTTTTATTTTCCTAAACAAAAAATTAAAAAGTCTTCATCAAAGAGAGTGAGCAGAGCTGGTGAGCATATCACAAAACTCCCTGCAAAATTGCTAAGCTAAATTGAGTAAAATGTTAAATTCCATTCCCCAAAAAGGTTAATTTCTCAGTTAAGTTCTATAGTTATTGGAGTCATGAATGGGAAACAATGCACCCTATTGGAAAACTGTGTTGGTCTTAGATTTTTGAAGAACTCATTTACAAATATTAATGGCTTGTTTTTTCTCTGTTCAGAGCAATGGAGATTTGAAGAGAAAATGGACCTGGGCAGTAGAATGGCTTGGAGATGAGCTTGAACGTAGGCCGTATACTGGCAACCCACAGTATACTTATAACAACTGGTCCCCACCAGTCCAGAGTAATGAAACATCTAATGGGTACTTTCTGGAGAGATCACACAGTGCAAGAATGACCCTTGCAAAAGCTTGCGAGCTGTGCCCAGAGGAGGTAAGGCGTTGGCTTGTACCCAAAGTTAATGTTCACTAGAGGACAGATAACTTACATCATTAAATTCCTTAAAGAATTATATGTTGGTTACATAGTAGATATACTACAGTTTAATATGCAGTTAAAGTTGCAAGTTTATAAGGTTTTTTAGCCCCTTAATATGCACTTACTGGTGCTGTTCTGTTGTAATTCATGACCAAGATGCTTAAACATTTTTCTAAGTTTAGATTTGTTTTGATTTCCCTTCTAATATCTATTGAAAATATTACACTTGTGTTGCTATTTAAGCCATCTTGAAGGGAAGGGACTGGCATTTTTTCTTGGCCTCTATCACTGAATGCCCAGTTTCCACTTTTAGAAAAAGAGTGCTATTCCTTAAGAGATGCTGGTATGTGCAGTTGATTCAAAAGCTAAATAAGGTGCTCTTATTCATGTGATGGTATATAGAGTGAAGGTAATGAACGTTGGGAAAAATGGAAGACTTGGCTGTATGCCTTTTGATAGCTATGGTATGCATTTATAGTAGTAGATATAAACAGGTTGAATTTTTTCCTATTTTCTTGAGAAAATGGGACATAGTGTTGGTATTGAAATTTTTGTTTGTAAGGGTGTTTGCTGGAGCACAGAACTCTGCTTGGCAGCATGTTACTTTTGGAGGGAATTCAGTTCTGTCCCTTTTTGAGTCATAGAACTTTTACATAGATTTGTTGAAACATAATTTCCTCTAATTAAGCATGGTGGCCAGTATGGCAATGCAGCATGGCCATCACACATAATGCTATGAAGAATACCCTGGATATTGATTTAAAAACTGGAAAAAGATAGTCCCAAAGACCTTCCCAAGGAGGACTTTGCATTCACAAATCTTTCCATAAAAATACAGAGTTAGAAATGGTTGAAAGCCCTGGCTGTTAAAAGCAGGAGGGCAGGGCACATATCTCTCTAGGGCATATGTTGTTCCTTTTCTTATTATGGTTGAGAATCTCTTCCAACAGTGCAAGGAACAGCTGCTGTGCAGGTCAAGTTTGAGGCTGCTACATAGCTTGCTCCATAAACAACCCTGAAACTTTCCCCTTCTCTAGTATATTAAAGGAGATAAAAAGAACAGCTACCTGGAGCAGGGCCTTCTCTGCGGTGGCGCCCAGATTATGGAATGCGCTCTCTCGAGAGGTGTGCCTGGCACCAAGTTTATATTCTTTTCGGTGCCAGGTTAAAACCATTTTATTCAATTGCTATTTTAAAAATTAATACTTTTAGCATTAACGGTTGCTTTTTTATTTTTGTTTTTATATAATTTTATGGAATTTGTATTGTTTTATTTTTTAATTGTACATTTGTGAGCTGTCCCGAGATGCTGAGGCATGTGGTGACGGCATATAAAAGTTTTAAGTAAGTAAGTAAGTAAGATTAGCAGTCTGGTGATCAGAGTGTGGGCTTTTAAAAAGCAACAAGCCTTCCCTATCCTGTGTCTGCGCCACTTAGTTTGGGGGATACTCCAGGAGTTGCCTTGGGAAAGAAGGGAAACAGAGCACCTTCACATAAATGATTTTTCACATGCTCCCACGTTGTAATTTTTCATACGACACTAGCTAGTGGTGAGATAATATATTTATTTTAGGAAATTACCTGCCATCAGAAAATAATAACAAGACAGTGTTTAATGTAAAAAGGAGTTTTAATGAATGTTTTTCATTTTTAGGAACCAGATGATCCAGATGCCCCTGATGAGCATGAGTCCTCTCCACCAGAAGATGCTCCACTATATCCTCATTCACCTGGCTCCCAGTTTCAGCAGGTGAGCAGAAATGCATCTTAAAGAAATTTCTTTCAGTTCTTTTAATATTCATGTGTCTTTTGCTTACACTTGATTAGAACTATATTGGGAACACTATTAGGCACAAGGTAAGTACTTCACAGCTATGTAGTAAAACAGGAGGCTCTGGGCACATTTTGATCTTTGATAAGTGTTTTGAACACTGTTATTATTAATTTATTTTCTCTCCTGCCCAATCACCAAAGCTCTCTAGGCAGTGAACAATAAAAATAAATACAATACAATCCAGATTAAAATGATGAAACATCATAAAATTATATTAAAATTGAAAACTTGTTATACCCAAACAACTAAAACCATAACATACTGCTAAGCCTCAAAAATAGCAGCTGGCAATATCCCCACTACCCCATGTGCTTTAGGAGTTTGTAGATGCCTAGACAAGGAGAAGAGTTTTAACCTGGTACCAAAGATAATACATTTGGTGCCAGACAGTCCTTGATGGGGTGATAGTTCCATGCCTTGGGAACTACCACAGAAAAGCCCATCCACCTTGTTGATACCAGCCAAGCCTTTCTTGGAGTTGGCACTTGGAGTAAAACCTCAGAAGCTGAGTGTAATTTCTGGGTACACTGTGACTGGAAGAGGTGTTCCATCAGTATTGTGTTCCCAAGCTATGGAGGGCTTTATAAATTAAAACCAGCACCTTGAATTGTGCTTTGAAAACATATAGGCAGCTATGGCAAGTGGCCCTGGATTGGGGTTAGGTGTTTGGATTGCTTGGTCCCAGTTATTAGTCTAGCTGCTGCATTTTGCTGGGAACTGGTTGTCTAGCCAACTTTTTCCATACCTTAAGCCATGGTCACAGCCAACAGCAGAACCTAAATTTGCTTTCATGTAAATCCAGTAAATAATTTCCAACATGTCATGTGTTCAACTGATGATGCTTTTTAGGGGAACACTTTAGAAAGCAAATGCATATATTCCAAATGCTTGAAATTATCTTCTAATGGAAATTTCTGGACACTGAATTTTGATTCTGCTGTGCTATAATTTACTATCTGACTTCTTGTCCTATAGTTCTAATCGATGGAATCAAGCTCAGAGCTAGTTCAGGCTTTTGAATTTTAGTATATTCAAATCTTTCAGAAACCAAAAATGACATATGATATATGAAATCTAATTCATGAATATGGAGCTCCAGGTCAAAATGTGCATACTCAAGCTTAAACCTCTCTTTAAGGTTAAATGCCTTTATAGATTGAGTTAACTTTGAAAAGTGAAGATCTTACTTTGGCATTAGCTGTGCTTGTAAGTCATAGGTAACAGCACTGTTTGTTCCCTTTTCTTTCCTGAATTGTTTATTCCAGGTCTTTAATCCATTAAATCCCTTTCCTGCTTGTTTGCTTTCATCTTGTTTTTGTTACTGATAATTGCAGTAAAATAGTTGATACGTGCTATAGATCCAATCCTCTCAAAATTAAACTCCATTATCCACTAGCTTCTTTATCAATTAGTGTGAGGTGCCTTTACTTTCTCAGAAGAGCTGGCTTTTTTCACCTGTTAACATACAAAATGGCTCTGTTTTTATTCCAGTTATATTCATAATTGTAAGTTCACATTACATCAAGGTGTATATATGTTTACACTGACCAGTTTAGTTTTGTTAATGCTTAAAAATTTTATCATGAGCCATTTTTAAGTTTGGAACAAGAATCCTTCTTGGACAATAATTCACAGTTAATACTTCCTGCTTCTCTACACAAATTAAAACTACCTTCTCCCAATCATTTCATTTTTGGAGACCTATTTTCAATTCAGGATATTTATCCTATCGTATTGGTTAGCAATTTTTCAAATTCCTCTTGCTTCAGCCTCTTGCATGAAGGCGAACTTCAATGCAAAATTTATATTTTGGTTTCCATGCAAATTTATTTGGTCTCTAGCTTTATTTTATAGGCAAGTGTATTGCTCTAAAGGTTTTTAAAACAGTGGTATTAGCAAGTTCACCAAGTTGCTTTTCTGTTTAAAAGAAAAATAGAATACAATATTCTTAAAATACGTTTTTTTCTCTTATAGAATAATCATGTGCATGGACAACCATATACAGGCCCAGCAGCACATCATATGAACAACCCTCAACGAACTGGCCAACGAGCACAAGAAAATTTTGAAGGCAGTGAAGAGGTTTCACCGCCTCAGACAAAAGAATAGTAGAAATGCACATAATTAACTTGCTCCATCAAGACTGTGCACCCAGGCCTTACAGTCCAACTTTTCTCTGTGTCTGGCTAATATTTAGAAAAAAAACTATTCCTAATCAACATGGAGTGAAGAGTCTATTCACTGTCTTATCTGCAGAAAATTGCTGTCAATATATAACCTGCCTGCAGTGGAAAGTGTATAGTGTTTTGTAATAAATGGCCTGATGCTAATGTGTAAATGGCAAAGGTGTATATAGTATATTAATGTTTGACTGTTAATTCTTAAGCAAGAAACATTTTTTGTCCTGATGAGACTCACAGATCTACAACAATTAATTTCTTGATATATCTGCTGCGCTCTACAACCAGTGTTGCCTGCCTAAGGGCAGTTGGATCAACTCCTTCCCCTCTCCACGAAAAGTAAGCCTCTCCATGTCAACCAGAAAAATAGTTTCATGTAATTCTTTGCCACTGGAGTCGATTTTACTATGAGCAGCGTAATGACTGGTAACCTTTTAATTATTTGGTTGATGTGGAAAATTGGTGATGTAACATTGTTTCTAGGTCTTTTTTCATTGCCTTTTTCATTCTGGTATTAGGTTAATCACTTTGAAGCTATAGTTAAGCTGCAACATTTAGCATGGCTTCACACCAGGTTAGTGTAGCCAGTGAGGAAATAAAAATGACAGTTGTCCCAAAGAGACAGCTGTCAAGTTCAGAGCCTTTTCTTCTGACATCTAGATTATAAAGCAGGGAGGGGAGGGTTGGGCAGTGTGACAGACAAGTGGTTTCCAGTTGCACATATGTTCCTCACATCTAATGTTTGACAGTTTTGTCTCTGGGTGGGATAAAAGAACACTTAGTTTTCAGTAATAGGAAATTAAAAGATTTAAAACAAATATGCAAATTTTTGCTATGCCAGGATGCCTGGAGCATAATAGACTGTATTTGGTGTGCTTGTTTTGTTTCTTTGGTAGAGCTTATTTGATAAATTTCTAACACTTTCCTTTCTACTGCACTGCAGTGAAATGGAAGTCAACAAAATCACACAATACTTGTGCCACTGCACCAAGTAAACTTGCTGGTTTTCCGCTCATTCACAATTCTACTTGAAAGCAAGAATTGTCTTAGTTCTTTATCCATAAGAGAGATCTTAACCTTAGAAGCAGGGTTTGATTATTAAAAAAAAAACACAGCTACCGGTTAGTCAAATACAAATCTGAGGTATCTCAATTCCAGAGTAAACATTTGTTTAAAGACTTCAAGGAACACATCAGTAAATACTGTATTTAAATTAAAATTGGTAACTTGAATGTGTGTAATTATTTTGAAACCTGTCGAGAAACCAAATACCCCTGCAAAACAGATACAGCCCACCCTATACTATTTAAATATTTGCTGTTTTATTTTATAGAAATTATTTTGCTGAATTCACAAATAGAATTTGATTTAAGAAGATCATTTTTGTCCTGTGGTGTGTGTGTGTGGTTTTTTTTTAAACACTGCACAGGTATTTGAATTCTGTGCACTATACTGAATTCTGGAACTAAAGTCGCATTGAGATTTGGTGGACAGAAATTTGACCCTTGACAAAGAATAAAAAAAGGAAAACTGTAATAGTTTCTTAATGTGACTATCTTGTACTTTTTGTATGTTTTATATATACATATATATTTAATGAGCACAAGCTTGATGGTATTTTTTACAATTGAGTTAATACAAACAACGCTGCTTATCAAACCGAGGATTTATAGTTAAAATGAACAAAGTGAGAAAATCACAAGTGCGTTCTTTTGCATTTAGTGTAATGAGATAGTCTTAAATCATTTTTAAATATGCTATGTAGCAATGATCACTTTACCCTTCCAGATTTTCTTTAGTATTCATGTTAATTGTTATGCTTCTAATAGCACTTAATTGGACTGGTTCAGAACATTTGAGTGAAACATTCCCCATGTATTTGGGTATGTTTACTACTTGCTCAAATCAAACTATTAATCTGCTTTTGTATTAAGAGCTGCAACAGTTCTCTCATATTCCCTTGGACCAGTAATTATTGTTAAATATATTATTTCAAAAGTTATCTTTGCATACAGAAACATGGAACTTGTTACTCTGGCCTTGGAAAGAATGATGAAGTGTGAAGTGATTGTGGAAATGTTTTTGTTTTGTCTTATTTTAAAGAACACTTTATTTTCACAAGGCTGTAACTTGCTTTTCCCTTCCATGGGAAAACAAGTTTTCAGATGACCAGTTTTGGGGATATTGTGGCTAATCTTTTTCCCCTGGAAGAGACTCTTCTGAGATGATGGCCTCTTTGAAATTAATGTGTAGCAGAAACCTGAGAAGTAATTTCCGTCCTTCTGTCCTTCCTCCCTTCCTTCCCTCCTCCCTTCCTTCCTTGGAAAAACACCAAATTTATTTCATTTTAAGTGAAAAATGTTCTAAAAGAATAATGCATGGTTCTGTCAGCTTTGGCAGCAGCCACTTCAAAGCTGTAATGTAATACCTCAATATTAATGGCACACATTAAAACAAGTCCTCAAAGTGCCTAAATGTTTAATTTTACTTTTCCACTACTTATTAAATCCTGTTTTTTGTTTGTAACAGCTAATGGAAAATCCCTGTCTTCCATAAAAGTGATCCATCCAACAGTAATCTTACATTTTTCCTAACAATTTGACATTAAATGTAAAGAAATTGAACACCTGTAGGAAAAGCTCTTAGTGTGTTTGTAACCAGAATGTGTTTATGTAAATAGATTCCTTCACTCTAACAGGAACAGTTCCATGTGCAAATGAATCTTTTGCCACTGTCTTCAGTGAGTAATCTTTCTATTTTCTGTTCTCGTGTTAAGCCAACCTAGTTAAGGAGGTATGCATGGCTGCCAACTTGCTGGGGAATTGTTATATACTGTCACTTTGAGGAAGCTTTTGAATGCCAAAAGTCATGGGAGCCTCACTTTTTTTAAAAACCTAGATTCTAGTTTTTAGTGGTTGTGGAAAGAACTGAAAGCATGTCTGCAGTGTCCTCTGAAGATTCAAAAACCAAAAGATAAAAAGACCCAAAATGGAATTTTAAACCTCATAATTCATAAGCCATGTAATGTCTTTTAAAACTGACCATGAGTTTTGAAGAATTAGCTTTAGAAATGCATGTATTAATTTGGTTTGCTTCCCAAACAGAATTAAGTTGTAACTAGTAAAACCTTTGCAGGCAGTGTATGTATATGTGTATATGTATGTGTGTGTGTGTGTGTGTGTGTGTGTGTGTGTGTGTGTGTGTGTGTGTATATATATATATGTAATAAGACTTTGGGTGTCATTTCTTCATGTAATTAGTGCATTATGAAGGAAGAAAAATATGTATTTGAAATTTTAAAAGGTAGAAATACAGTAGGTAAGTTGTTGTTCTGCTAGATGCACCTTCCTATGGAACTGAACTTTACCTTGTGACTACCACCACAGTGGTATTTTCAAAATGGAATTGCACTTTAAGAACTTACTGCAAAATGTTCATTGGCATTAGTGTCTGTGTTTCCTAGAAAGTATATTTTCCTAGTTTCCTGGGTGGCACAATGTACTGGGGTTGTCCTCTGCATAGTTCCTATGTATTTCAGTGGCACTCGAATAAAAGTAGTGCTGTGCTCCTGGGACAAGCCCATCAATTCTCATGGAGATGGAGTTAAGAGAACTTTGTTTCTCAAGTTTTGTATCATTTATATACATGCTGGTAGCATTAGGAAACATGACTATATGGCTAACTTATTTTTCTTATTCTGTAGGATACATCATGGGCATTTTTAGCATTATTAAAGCAATTTTGTGAGGATCCATATTCTTTTTATATATTTTATAGAAATGGAAATATAAGACGTTAGAAAGTTCTCATAGCAGAAGACAGAAGTACGAAAGAATTGCAAACACATTTCTCCTGAATGGAGATTATGGCAGATAACAGAAAACAGAGGTGGCATAGAGCTGGTTCATGATGCCCTGTCAACTTAATGACCTATTTGTAAAAGGGCCATCTTAAGAGTTAAGTATCCTGACTAGAGCTTTCGTATCACCATATGTGCAATAGACCAGGTCCTAAGAACTGTTAATAGGAAGAAAATTGCTGGCGGTTGAAGATTGCCCCAAAAGTTGTCTTCTGCATCTTAGGGGATCTTCATCTTCCAAAAGGCCTCTTTTAAGGGTTGAGGTGAGGACTGTGGAATGGAAGGCTTCTTGGAAAGGAGGGACTCTTGGTCAAAAGACTATCCTTGATCACCATTCCATTCATACAAGGCTCCTTTACCTGAGTTAGGGCCTTCGCCCCTCCCTCTGGGTCACAGCCTATCCCCATACACAGTGAACCTGCAACTAGTAAATGATTTAGGAGGATGCACACAGCAGGAGAGCAGGAAATCTTTTGCCTGTTTCCTTCCTTCCATGAGTAACCTTAAGCTGCAACCCAGTGTTTTTCAGTGGTTAGTTCACAAATTATCATGTGTTGATCAAATGTTGTAAATATATGTCTGAACAGGCACTTAGCCTGCCATGCTCCTCTGGCGCTTTCTGCTTCAAGCGTTTTTACCCACTGGAGCCACTAACAAGAGATAGGAAAGCACTGCATTGCTATATGATAGTTGAAATGGGTCAAAACCTGTATTTGTTCCCCAGCATGCTCAAAGGAGCTTAATGAATTTCCTTTTGAAAATCACATACATAAACACTGCTGCAGAAAAGAAAATAATTCTACTTTTATGAATAAATACTTGTACTGACATTGTTCCTTTTCCAACTTGCGTTCTCAGAGTGAGTAGCTAGCTAGTTTGCTATCAGATGTCAATGAACTACTTAATTCCAAAAGTTTTATATGCTGTATTATAGAACTGTAACTGGTCTTAACTTATTTTTGTGTCATTTCTTTCAACCTTGCTTCAGCAGGGTCAAAATGAGGATAGTGTATTACCAGAAACTGGCAATTCCTGGCCCAAGAAGATAGTTGCAAATGCATTTCACAATTTTGGCCAGATCAGCAAAAAGTCATTGTTCTGCATGTTTGTATTGCTATGGGTTTGAACCAAAGTGGATTCCTAGGTGCTTAACTAGCAAACATAGTAGAATTATAACTCAGGTAAATTACAGGGTAACATAACTCTGTTAAGAGGATGGTGCTTGATTAAACAGGTGTAGCATAGTGACTAAAGAGTCTTGAGCTACAAGTCACAAAGATAACAGTTCAAATGTCACCTCAGCTATTCACTTGGTGGCCTTTAGGGAGCCACTCTCAGTCCCCATCAACTGTAATATTGGGGGAATGATGTTCATTTAGCTCAAAAAGCTGTTATGACTACATCTAAATAATGCATATAAACTCCATTTGAAACTCAGCATGATACAAAGTTAGAATATTATCCTTCAGTGAAATTATTTGTCAGTATTGACACTAACACTTGCATCCAATTTGCTGTCCCATTCTTAAGTTTAGCTTTCCAACTAACTGGCAATCTTTCTACTTTGAAAGGCCCTGTTCAGATAGAATTTGCTGTTTATATTAACACTCCCAACCAACCCTAAAGATGTATTCAGGGGAGGAAATTTTACCATGACACTCCTGTCAGTTACAGGAGCAGTGTGAATTCTGTAGTTATTTTGGATGGAAAGGAATCTTTCGGTCACAGCAATCACTGCTAGTGACATACAGAGCAAAATGTTTTTGTTTAAGGTCACCCTGAGTACTCTTTTTAGCCCACTGGTGATTATGAACGCAAACAGCTTGTGTGATCCAGCCTATACATCTGTCTTCTTATCTGCCATAATCATTCTGAATATATTTTCTTCAGTTCTGCATGGTACTGCTTGAGTTTCCAATATGAGCATTAAAATTTTGTGTAGTGGTGTTAATTACTGTATCAAATTGGTGGGCTTATATATCTTCATTTTACTACTTGAAGAGCTGTTTTTAAAATGCTAGGTCTTGTTCTTTATGTCTTTTTTTGAATGGCTTTTCCCCCCTTGTAGACGTACTTTTTCCACTTTAATTCCTACTGACTTTAGGTTCTCCCTCTCCAGCCTCCCAAAAAGCCACCTTAGGTGCCTACGAGTTCCTTATGTGTTAATTCCACATTTGATTTCTGTACCTGTAGCTGCCAGTCTATCCTATACTAGTTCATTCCTGGAATAAGTGCAAAATCTAATTTGTCCATTTTTAAGTTCCTGGTGTTTACATTGCATAAATTGGCTGCTAAGTTTTCAGTATTATACCATGTTTGCCTGACTTGAAACACTTCAAACTGCACAATAATTACATTTTACAACTTTGTTAATTTGTTCTCTTTGAAGTCAGGATTGAAAAGGGAGGACTAGTGGGTTTCAGCATGGTTGCCAGCACATTCTGTTTGCCACAGATACATTTCCTTTGCAGTTTTCACCCCTAGGTTAGTGACAGTTGATTTTCTCCTACAATAACATTTTGGGTTTGGGCTCCTGTTTGCTGACCCTTTTAAGATGATCGGACTTTCACTGACATTTCAGATAGACAATAGAGACAGTTAAGACTTCCTGGAAAGAAAATAATATTGCTATATAATGCCCACATGTACAATTTTAGGGAAGCATACTGTTTTCATCTGTTAAGCCAATGGATATCCAGTCAATGAATTGCTTCCATATGCTTAGCCTGTGTATTAAAACTTTTACAGGTAGTTCAGCATGGAAGTTATTCCAGCTATAATTTCTATGTATTTGCGGTACAAGCTATTGTCTCTAAGAATGTCTCATTCTCTTGACGTGTATCGTAAACATTCTGCATTTTACATGTGTAGGGTATTTGAAGACTAGTATCCAATTCAAAATAGGCAGCGATAGAACAACAGTATTTTATCAACATATAATTGACTGTCGCCATTATGAAGACTCCAGAATGTAACTAAGGGAAATTCAGCTGACTTTTGCCAAAGAGTGACTATAAGCATTTTCTATTTGCTTTTTGATGGGACAGATGAAAATATAAATTGTATTCCAAATATATTTGAATGTTCCTTTTATTTGGACGGATTATTACAGTACAGATCACATTTTTATTCTAGCTTGGGAAGCAAATGATGGAACCTTTGTCCAAACAACTATTTCCAAATTATGCAACTGTTTAATCTTTTCATCATTTTTATCTGATTGACTAATGCTGTCAAGATTGTTATGTTTTTATGTGTGGAAGAAAACAGGTAATCCTTTACTTGAAACTTTTCAATCTTTGTATGCTGCAAACTAGGAGATAGGGAGAATTTGCTGCAAACTAGTTTATGGGAGATAGGGAGAATATTTCAGTTTGTAAATCTTCTACAATACTTTAAAGTGTAATGGGCAAATTCATAGTTGCTGCTCACACAATGGGACTTTTCTCTCCTTTCCCCCACACCACAACTACATCCATGCCCTTCTCTAGGACCTGTTCTGGAGAGTCCCATAACCCTCCAAAACATTTTGAGAGTACATGGCAGGAGAGGCAATTGTTTCTTTCCCTGTGCTTATGGAAGTCATTCTGCCACTGGGGGAAGTGTTAACTGGATACAAATCAATGCCTTCAATGTTTTTCCTTCCTTTCCCTAGATGGGTTATTTTCAAGCTGTATATCCCTTTTAATCCTCACTCCTTTTGCTAATGGACTTGTATAAACATTTTGCATTTTCTAATTTTGTTTAAGGAGTATTCTATAGGTGCTTATTAGATCTGAAACATTTTTAACTTGGAGTTACGTATTTCTTGCTTCTGAATACTGAGTTTGAACTTAAATATTACCATTTGGTATCTGAGTGACATTTGATTTTGAAAATTTGGAATGTTGAATTATGTATGCAACTGTTCAATTGGGGAAAAGTAAAAGAATGAAAAGCAACTTTCCATTTTGGCAACTGACATCTTGATACAAAAAACTAGTAGCTACAAGTTTTGTGAGCATTAGATTTTCATTAGCAGACTCTGAAATTGCAGTACTAAATTGAAAGATTAGTAATGAGTGAACTTAAAAGTTGTGTTTTCAGGGCCACTGCAGTGATGTTGTACATTGAAGTCAGGCAGCTTCAATGTGACTAGTGAACTTTTTGCGTTTCATCCTGATCTAAACATGGATCCTGAAAATCCCATCTCTTTCCATTTTAATGCATTTCCTAAGTAAGTGTGCTTGGGGCTTGCATCCTTCAAGTTTCACTGTATATCTCCATGTAAACAAAAGATACCTCATGTTCAAGTTGCATGTCATTTGTAGCAAACTTAAGGCTAACTGTAACACAGTAATATGAATTCCACTAGCAGTTACTTAAAATTTGCTGCCCTAGGATGTCTCCTGTTTCATTGTACCACTGGAGATAGATTTAAAATGTTACTTTCCAATAAAAAGGGCTACAGCATTTTAGCGTATTTGCCAGTATCTTACGTCAGGATTGATTTCGAGTCACAGATACCAGGTAATTCTTAACCCTGTGAAACTTCAGTCTTTGTACACTTGAGGGAAAAGCTAAAATGGCATCTGCTGGTTAGTGCAACACATTGAATCTATGTAATGAAATTAATGCCATTCTAAAAGAGGAAGAACTTCTGCTCAGTCTGTTTACCCTCATCTTCTGGTCAATATCTTCAGTGACAGTGCATATTAAAACTCAGTAGAAAAATTACTGCAATGGAGGGAAAAAAAGTCCTGTATATTGTAAGGCTTCAAGTAATAATTTTCTCTGAATAACCGTATAGCCCAGAAGAATCATGTCTTCTGAGTGCTCTCTGCCTTCTTACATGAATAGTTTGCACTTGAGTTGTAAAGTTGGCATGTTGAAACATTGGATGTTATTTTTTCTATCAGCAGAGGAATGGAGTTGACAACAGTTTTGCCAACTTTAGGTAAAGGGGCTAGTTTACCCCTTGCTCAATAGAATACTTGACAACCTTCCATTCTCCAGCGGAAGGGATCTCTGGAAATACTTTAACTCAATTTTGTTTACATTGTGTCATACTTGAAGGCTTACAAAGATGTGTATTTTTGAAGACAAGATGATACAGGTAACTTCAAGAAAAAGCAGTGTGTTCCATTAAGAGCCAATTTCAAACTAACCGAGCTGAGAACATAAACTACAAGGAGACAAGCTGTGAGCTGGATGCTTCAAGTTAGTTCTGACAAGAAAGGGAGTGACTTGCTACCTGCTCAAGCATAGAAAGGTACTACTCGTAAGCTTACAAGAAAAGTGCATGAAGGAAGAAATTAATGGTGAGTGGTCCCCAATAATGCAGCCCTTGAGTAAAAATACATGTTTACACTTGAAGTGGGTTAGACAATTTTTTAAACGAAGCATAAGCTCCTTGAATGCTAGACATTAATTGCATTATCTTTAACCGTTGTTTCAAGTTTATGCTTCTAATTAAGCTATCCCCATTCTAACATTAAATCATCCCTAAGCACTTTTAAAATAAACTGTTCCTTACTGAAAGTTGCATCATTCATTCAGTTTAAGAAAGTTCCAGACAAATAAACAGGTTCTAATTGCAGCACATGTTAAAAAGCTCTTCCTGTTGGCTACTGGGCTTTCTTACAATTAGATTTAGGAGAGCTGCATCAGCACAAAAATACTAGGTCTAATCTATTTAAGAGCAAGCCTTTTGATATTTATACTGACTAGACAATGTAAAGGGGCAAACCAACTATACAAATGGTGCAAGGCAGATCACCCCAGCTTTAGAAGAGTATCATCGCATAGCAGTCCCATGTGCTTTGTGGAGTGCTGATCCCGTAAGGGGAAGGGAAGCTGGGTAAAGACTTCCCCAACAGTCTCTCAGCAGCTGGATCAGAACTACACTCCGGCTGGTCCAGGAAGGAAGCTCTAGGCAAGTTGACATCCTTATCAATACAGCAACAGCATCATTGTTCCAGTACTAGGATTTTAAGGGTTGCTTCAAATAGCCTCCTCCATTTTTTTTTTGACTAGCTGGCCAATTCTTACTGTTACCGCCTCACTTGGTTTAGTTTCTGAATATGCCTGCTACCTTTAACAGTACGTTGCCAAATGGCAGAATGGGAACTGCTGTTCCAGCAAGGAGCTAGTCTGAAAGGACCATGAGGTTATAGTCCTTTAACAGACTTTCTAAGACCTTAACTAAAGGAATAACACAGAAGCCATGCCGGATCAAAACACAGTTCATCTAAATCAGCATTCCATTCACACAGTGGCCACCTAGCCGCTCATAGGAAATTCACAGCAGTAATGTCATTCACTCCATGTTTCCCAGCAACCGATATACACAGGCACACTGACTTGCTTTACTGGACACAACATATAGCTGCCAAAACGAGTAGCCTTATTCTTCATGTTCACACAGCAAGACCCATTCTTACATAACAACAGATAAGCACAAGGAGAATATAGATACAATATTGTACTACAGCCCTCCCTATTCCTATATTATTTAACAAAGCACAGAAAAATTACATGAGGCACCAGGAAAGGTTTGATATTTCTGCAAGTTGTATGGCCATGGTTTATAAATCCTCTTCCACGGAGAATTTCCTTTGATAGACACCTGTTCTAGTTTCAGGGCCATTTGTTAGTGTGAATTAAAATACCTTGAACAAGGAATTACAACTAAAAATAAAGAGTCCTCCCACACATTTTACCAATTTACAGAAAAGCTGGCATTTATTTCTTTATGAACAGCAGAACAAAATATTTAGTTCTCCTTCTCTTGCACAGTCTTTGTTCCACGCAGTCTGCCAGTACGCCGGGCTGCGATGAGACCAACCTTGCGACCAGCTGGAGCATCTCTCCTGATGGTTGAAGGCTTACCAATGTGTTGATGGTTACCACCACCAAAGGGATGTTCGACAGGCTGTGGAAAGAACAGAAGTAATCAGATTTAAAAGCCAGACATGAATTAATTTCAAATACCAAAAGGAACTAGTTCTGCAAAACAAACATCAGCAAAAAGCCTAGTATCATGGCACTGAAAACTGGGCAGTCAACTTGCTTTGACTAATCAAGAACCTGATTTCCTCCAGAAATTGGGTCAATGTGTGAGGAAATGACCTCCTATTTCTGAGCAGTATGAACACTGTTAGAAGTTGTTTCACCCAACCCCATCTGACAGAGAAGATAGTGCAAGCACTGCCCTTTAGGTCCTCCATTTCCAGAACTGCATTTTGCAGTAACCACTCTAGCTTGGTTACAGTATGAAAAAGTACATAGTTACTTTTCTTTCCATTCCATTTCCCTTTTTATCATGTCTCTAGAATACTGAATTACAGTTTAAAACTGCATTGACCTTGAATGTTTTGGCAGTAAGTCAGCATATAATTAAGAAGCTGTAAAAATCATAATGGAACATAAAAGAAGTACTCACATTCATAGCTACACCACGGACACGTGGCCAGCAATTTCTCTTTGCCTTGTATTTGTGGTAAGCTCGCCCAGCCTTCAAGATAGGTTTGTCAATACGACCTCCACCAGCGACAATACCTGGAAGATTTGAGCTGCTATCAGACAACTACATCTGCTTGTATGTTTTCCCAAATATTAGCACTGGTTACGACAGCTGACAGTTTCCCATGTCATGATTTAATTCAGGAGTGAATAATCTGGTGGGTCATTCTCTTGTTCTTTTGCTGTCCAAACTGCCATTTAATTTTGGCTGCATCAAGGAAACAACCACATTTTTATTTCAAATCAAGGTACACAGGGAATGCAGATTTTGTAGGAGCATTTATGCTGCATTAAAGCAATTCAGCATGGGAAGGGGAGGTGTGGACCTGAGTAGTCAGAAATTTTCCCCTTGGACCTTCCTATATTGCTCACCCCGATTCAAATTTACCTGTTTCTCAAAGTCAAGGAAGAATTTAGATTGCACTCTTGTGCGTGTATCTATGTTGTAGACATCAGATAACGTGCAACTTAGTATAACCAAACTCTTTACTGGCTAAAATATCACATAGGTATTTTGTAAAAATCTCTAGATACAATATTTGAAGGGTCTGGAGTTCAGAATAAACACTTTCTGTCAAAAGCAACCTCTCATATTGAGGTAAACAACCCATTTAAAATGCAAAATCTTGCAGTTAATGTATTTTATTTTTAAAAAAATGATAAATCACCTTTCATCTACTAGGGAATTCAGGCTGATGTATGAACCAATTTAAAAAACTATGTGAAAACCACAGATTTGTAAAATAAAAGATGAAAAGAGAACTCTTCAGCAGGTAGAGCACAAAACAAAAGCACCATTTTAAAAAATCAAACATGTAAAATGCAAGAATTTGGGACCAAAATGAAAACAAGAGTTGCCACTGGTCATAGCCCCTTTGGAAGGGCATTTCAAAGTTAGGGTGCCACTACAGGAAAAGTGATTTTCTTTATAAATGTAGTGTATTTCTCCCACTGATGATTCTCTGAGAAGGGTGTTCCTGTGAAGATCTTAGTGCATGTGCGGGATGATATGGCATGGAAGGACACATTTATATCCAGCTCTATTCACTTTCTGTGAAGCTGCTCTTTGCCTACTGATTACTGCAGTTGCACAACATGCATATTGTCAAAAACGACAATACAACAAGCACTGGTCAGGCAAAAACCTGCGAAGCCACTTGGCCACAGCAACAGAAAGGCTGGCTGCTCTGTTTAAGCAACAAGTGGTGACCACCATGGTCAGCAGTCCAACAGTAGCACTTGGGTGGTAGCTGATACAGGCTTCCCCACTCACTGCCATAAGACTTGAGGCTTGGTGCGGTTTGATTTTTCAAAAGAAAGCTGTGGTTCCCCAATTTTAACTCTGCCTCCCCCATTCGTCCAATCAGGGCAATTTGGGGAATATCTATAAAGTGCTTTTCACACAAAAGGTCCCTAAGAAGTAACACCAGTGATCCTTGGAAA